GAGGAGTTTGCATGTTCTCCCCGGGTCTGCGTGGGTTTCCTCCCACATTCCAAAAACATGCATGGCAGGCTGATTGAACACTCAAAAATTGTCCCTAGATGTGAGTGTGAGCACAGACAGTTGTTCGTTTCTGTGTGCCCTGCGATTGGCTGGCAACCAGTTCAGGGTGTCCCCGGCCTCCTGCCCGAAGATGGCTGGGATAGGCTCCAGCACCCCCGCGACCCTTGTGAGGATAAATCGGATCGGAAAATGGATGGAGTTTATAATGATGTACAATTGCAGTATGTCATAACTGAGAGCTATTTCTAGTATTTTGGTTGGGTACCTAACAAATATTGTTGAATTTTTGCCATTAAGAAAAGTCACATCAATTTATCTGTGTAGAGATGTTTAAAAAAAAAACCAGGGCTTGTACTGGCTCTTATTAACTTGTGCAAGCAGGTATAATGTTCTGGGCAGTTGATACATATTGTACGATATCATACAAATGAAGATCACATTTCTGCAGTTGTGAATGTGTTTTATTGACAAGAATAACCAATGAACCACCATCAGCAGCACCACTCTGTGCAGAATTCAACATCAATCTCATGCAGTGTTTCTCCCATGTTTTTGGTCAAACTTCCAGTATAGATGTTCTATACAAACATACAGTATTTATATTGATCACAATTATGTACAGTTGATCCCTAAGATTATTAATAGAAGAGATGAAGACTTCCTAGTGGACAAAACTACCCCCACTGCATCTGGACTATCTGTCATGGAATGTTTTTCCCCTCCTAAAATTTGGAGTTGATCAATTCTGTAACTTTATTCCGACATATTCTAATTGTTCGACTTCAAAATTCCATGTTGATCTTTAAACCTGAGGTTTGCTGACTATTACCGCTCATTTTCCCCACCTGAAATAGCCACGTTAAGCTGTGTTAGCGAATCAATCAATATCAAGCTGTACAAATACGGTACGCATCTGAAGACAACAGTAAACACAGAACCGAAGTAACCATGTAAGAAAATAAATAGGCACTCTTTTTGCATGAAACACTTCAAATACATTTCCTGCTTGAATCTGATACGTTGTTTAGCAGCTTACGTCCTTAGTCACAGTTCAGATCAGGTGAGTGTGAAAGCCAGATCCGTTTCATACACTGAGGTTCTTGAAAACATAAGTTCATTTCCAATTGAGATAAATGCTTTCATAATTATTCCAGAGTGCCACACGCATGGTGCGATCAGATTTAAGCAGGAAACAACAATTATTACATCATGTGAGCTGTGGGCATGGGCGCAGATGGCCTTGGGAACAGGGGGCGACATGTCCCCCACAGACTTATGATGAACATGATCCGTCCCGCTGCACTTGCGTCCCCGCATAAAGTGACAAAATTCTCTGGTAAAATAGAGGACATTGATGCTGCATAGTGTATACAGTAGTGTGCAATACAGTAACTACTGATGTGTTTAAGTTACACAAGAATGTGGGAATTTGTTACTCCTCCGATTGAAGTCGGATTTCGAACTCAGCAAGGCAGACGAATCTTACAAGCCTGAATTTGTGCTATTTGCTACATTGTACTCACGGAAACACTATGGTTATTTATTTAGATTAATTTTATAATATTAACCGTGGTCCACGCACCACCCAGTTCCAAAATTCATCTGCGCCCCTGGCTGAGTATGATGTTGACTGATATGACAACAAGCTGCAGTGTTGAACATTACACTAGATTGCATTGAACACCTGGGCCTTGTAACTGTACAGAAAAAAAAACGCAGGTCAGGAATAGCGGTTGTACAGACCAGTCGATTTGTCGACTTTACTACTCCATAATATCATTTAGGGATGGGCAACAGCGGCCACTAACCACACTCTTGAGTGGCCCCTTGATTAAGCCCCCCCCCCCCAATTGGTGGTGAAATAGATTTTACTAACCCAAATACATCTTTAAAACCCTGATTAACATTCACTATATGTTTTTTACTTGGAAACGCGGGCGGGAAACAGGAAAATACCATATATCTATATAAAATGAAAAGAAAAAAAAAAATGCAAATCTGCGAGTATGCAGAGGTCCACTGCACTGTAGTTTTAAGATGCAGGTTTGACACTACGCGGGGGCTAGGGGGTACTTTAGCCCCATCAGAAATCTGTGCAGCCCCACCTAAGACCCTGTGGCATTTGATTTGATACTCTAAAATATATTTATGAATTATCCCCCCCCCCCCCACACCTGTATCAGTCAAGCCTCCTTTTAGCCCCAGGAAGGAAAAAATCCTGGACCAGTGCCCGTGAAGTTGTTATATCACCAGTCACAGCAAAATGACAGACATGGCTTAATTACGCTTACACTGGGTCTTATACTGCCCTATAGTATAACGTGAGTTAGTTTTTGCAGATTTGGAATTATATGCAGGACAGACACAGTATCACAATAATTTTAACATTTTGAGTCAGTTATTTTTGTGTGGAAAAAAATGCACAAAATTAGTTGGTTTGCTGTTCAAGAAGCTTTGTGCTATCCTTGAGTGGTAATTTTTATGCAAGAGAGCCCTTTGCGCAGGGGGAAAAACAAATCACAGTATGTGGTTATTCTGTTGTTTGCTTCAAACCCTTTGTTGTAGGGTTAGGATAATGGATCTTTTATACATGCAATGAGAAATGTATTCCAAAAAATGATATGCATTTTAAAAGAAAATATTTTGTACTTACACATGTATTTTGTCCATACTTAAAATGGCATTTTGATCATACATCTGGTTAGGAAGCGTATGGTCCTGTGTGGCCCCCCGGTTCGCACTGATCAAAAATTGTGGAACACTCCAGCATTTGAGTTGCCCTTCACTGGTTTAGAGCATATCGCCGACGGGTTGCTCATCATGTGTTTATGGCTTGCAGTAAAAAATGAGTGCGCTGGATTAGATGAGTCTTGTACCTTTATTGATTAAAATTGTCTTGTATTTCTGAATATGTGGCTTTTGTTTAGTGAGGGAGAACCAGTGAAGGTGGAAAAAGCCAAGCTCAAGTACGTAGATTTTTGAACATTTTTTATCATTGGGAAAAGAGAGTGGGAAATTATTTCACCCAGGAAGAGGTCCGTCATTATTGCAAACATGGCAAGTTCCCACCATGCACAACCAGTTGCTGTGATGGGCCCAAAAACAGGACAGCTTTCGAGCATTGTTCCAGGGCACATCAATGCTTTTTTGTATCTCTGCGTAAATCTGAAGTTGTGCAACCCCTAGTTGGGAATACTGCTTTTGTGGTGGTGGAAAAAAACAAACAAAGTTATCTGGGAACAGTTGGACAACAGTAGATTGTCATAGGGTTATAAGAAACACTTATATTTTTCTATATGTTCTTTTTAAACACTTTCTTTACAGTCTGTGCAAAGAAACAAGCAGGGCCATTACTTTATGATACACTACGGTGCTAACTTTTAAACAGCGACTCGAGGTTGTCAATCAGAAGCCCTTGTTTGCTGTGCTGAGTCCATGAAGAAGACAATTTAATGACAGGAGAGAGGCACAAGGATTTTGACTTTTAGTTCAAGCTGTTGACTTTTACTCAAAACAATGTAGAAAAGCAATGCATCTGGCTGAGGATTGATGCCCACTTCATGCCCTTTTCATTCAAATCTAAAATTGCAATTTGACCACTTTTTGAGCAAAGATCGACTGTGCTTTGAAGAATCTATTACAGCAAAGCAAAATGCATTATCTAAAAAAATATTGAATTTTAAATATTGAACAAAAGGAACATATACTTTTGTTCAAGTGCATGACAAGGACATAGACATGTCAATATGGATGTACATATAACTGGTTAGTTGAAGATGGCTCAAAAAACTTTTATTGTGGCTGTAACTCATATTTATTTATACTGTTGTGCTCATAAGTTTACATACCCTAGGGCAGGGGTGTCTAACTCCATTCGTCAAGGGCCGCATGCATATTTTCAATGTTTCCCTCCTCCAACAGAACTGATGAGTTTAAATGATCAGCTCAACGGCAATTTCTGCAGGAGCCTGACAACGAACCTGATCTTTTGAATCAGGTGTGTTGGAGGAGGGAAACATCTAAAATATGCAAGTTAGCGGCTCTTGACGACCAGATTTTGACACAGCTGCCGTAGGAGTACGTCAACTGATGATCCCAACTGCACAGGTTTAAAGGGTCAAATCTGTCTGACTGACTGAAGGAATGCATTGATGTGAGGTTGTTGAATGTTGCCCAAATTTCTTGTCACTATCATCTAAATATTTTTGTTGTCTTTTGGTCTAATGGGCCTATTCATAATGTACATTCTGTTTGTGGTCTAGGGCAGGGGTCCCCAACCGCCGGTCCGCGGACCGGTACCGGTCCGCCGGGCATTTGGTACCGGGCCGCACAGAAAGAACTTGCCTTAATTCCGTTTTATTAATTTCGGAATACGAAAGATGTTTTATTTTGAAAAACCACCGGATTCTCCGTTACATCCGTCTGTGTTACGCTTGACACACGTCAAGCCACGCTTCTCCTTCACGTGACCGCTGAATATTCTGAGATCGCCACAGTAGCACTGTTGCTATTTCCGACATGCTACCTGTGTGAGGAGGGGGTTTTCTGCAGCAACGGCAACTAAAACAAAATTACGAAGTAGACTGGACATGAAACACACACTTGAGGTGTCATTGTCTCCTATTACCCCGAGATGGGACCGTCTGGTTGCAGAAAATCAAGCTCGGTGTTGTGGTGAGTCGTCCGTCATTTTCATGCACTTTGAATTTGCGTTGTATCGTATTTTGAAGGCATTAAACATTGCCATAGCGATCGGAGTGTTGCGGCCAGATTAGACGTTCCTTGTGTTTATTATTATATTTCGAAAACGCCACAGTTTTCATGCAGCTCATACCATATTATTTTGTTGTATTATTTCCGCCACACCTTAAATGCCGGTCCCTGAAAATATTGTCTGACATAAACCGGTCCGTGGGGCAAAAAAGGTTGGGGGCCCCTGGTCTAGGGCAAGTATGCTGTATGTTAAAATTGTGGATTGTTCACATGTGGTCCAACCTTCCTTCCATCTATACATCTCTAAGTGACATAGAGTAGCTACAGGCGAGAGTAGTTGGCTGTACGTGGATGCAGACAGGAAGGAAATCAAACATGCAAGCAGTCTCGCATAAATAAAGAGGTGGTCCAGTGTGTGGTGTAACTCTCTCACCCAGCCTGCCTCCAAGGCAACTGGACTTCTCTTTTGGATCCAAACACGCTTCCACTATTTTCCGAAAGGCTTCTTCTGTTCAAAGTCCCTCGTAGAGCCTAAATTTAAGAGATATTTGAACAGAGTTGTAAACCAATGACAATTTCGGATCTCTTTCTTGGCTGCATGATAAACCACTTAAAGTCCCTGCAAAGTGAGAAGCTCAACAAATGCACTGCTTGTGCAAATTTAGGACATACTGTTGCTTGAAGCAAAAAGAAGTGTTATTCAATGAAGATGTCTTCAGTGGGACAAGAATACCCAATGTGTTCCTTGTAATACTGATGGAAGGCCTTCCTGTAAAACATGAAGGAATACAATTCAGATATGTCAGAAAGAAGGATCTAAAAACGTCTGATCCTGTACCTCTGATTTACTACCATATTTATTGAATCCACAAAACACAACAGAAAACTATTTTTTTCATGTGAGTTTTTATAAAACACTATGCCTTTGTGTAGGATGTTGCAGCGGGGCATCAGTCTGTCATTTCGGAACGTCATTGTTAAAAACACAATCAATTTGGAACTTTATTTCACTGTTACCATGTAAACAAGAGTGTAACATCAGCATTCGGTCTTACCTTTAAATATGTACTTTTAAATAGACTGTCAATGGGAAAGTACAGTACCTCAAAGACTGAATGTAAATTTGTAAGATTGAGGTGGATAATCCATAATGTGCACGACAGAGCAGAATAGAAGACAGCCTACCCTACTGACTTGGCCAGAGGATGTAAAGTTGTATCTGCCATCATTACATGACAGGCAAAGCGTGGTTGGTCAGGATGTTTGCTGATGAAACCAAAGTACCTGCAATACAATTATTAAGGTCACTTGCAGTGATCATAGAAATCAATTAACATTGAAGAGCCAATGTTAATAAACTGACAGCTTCCTTAATACAGTTATGGTAACTCCTTCATTCCACTTACTTGTTGTGTTTTGGATGGCAGCCACAGAACGAGATATTCTTCAAATGGAAGAAATGGAAACACTGGTCTCCCTGAAATAGAGATAAAGAAAATAAGAATATGAATCCACAAAAAGTGAGTACCATATTTTCTGCACTATAAGGCACACCTAAAAGCATTCAATTGTCTCAAAAGGCAACAGTACGTTTTACAATCTAATAGGCCTTATATACGGATCAATATTCTTATTTATTGGACGTACTATTTTAAATGTTCTGTGAAGTGCTTTGTTACAGCTGCAGCGGTTGTGAAAGTGTCATATAAAGCTGCATTGTATTGTATTGTATTCCTTTAGCGTAGCACCATCTAGTGGATGCATAATGCAACATCAGCCACTATTGTAGTTTCTAATCTATGCGTCTTATAATGCGGTGCGCCCTATATATGAAAAACAGTTTTAAAATTGGCCATTCATTGAAGGTGCGCATTATACTCCAAAGCGCCTTATAATGCGGAAAATACTGTAGGTGTCATTTTGCACATACCCTGTGAGCAGAGTGACATTGGTCCTGGACACTGATTTTCACACCTCTCACACTGACCTCCACCACACAGGCCGAGGGAGGCTGCCCTGCTAATCGCCTGTTATATGCAACCTGTTGGTACATGAGTTCCGAGGTCAATCGGTGAACTTGTCAGAGGAAAGGCACTAGCAGCATTGTAAACACACAAACACAAGCTACTATATGTAAAAATTCTGTCTTGAAAAAAAAAGAAGAAGCAGCATTCATCAAAGCTGAAGTTGTTGTTTCCTGCAAAATTCAAAACCAGTGAATGGGTCCGATCTAGGATTTTAATAGCTTAGGTATCTCGAGGCACAATTTTTTTGAATGCAAGGGAATAAAATTAATTCCAAAATCAGATGAAGACAATGGTAATCATTCAAAATGGCAAGAGAAATACAGAAAAGCTTTGCAAAATGTTAGTGCCAAATGTACCATATAGATCAGTTTCTCACTTTTGAGTGACAATTGAAATTCTGCAGTTGAGTATTATCTCATTTGGCCTGATGTCAGCTGGGTTCATATCCAGCTTCATGTGTCCCTGGCAGGATTAGTGGTAAGAAAATGGATGGGTGGATAGGATTTAAAGATGCCGGTCACTATTAAGAATAGTGAACTATACTAAACCAGTTTCCATTCCACACATCCTATTTGCACAGATATGGTGATCAATCCATAGATGTTTCCCCTCCTCCTGACACCTGATTCAAATTTTCAGCTCACGAGCAAGCTCTGCAGAAGCCTGATGACGATCCTGATCATTTGAATCAAGTGTGCTGAATGAGGGAAACATCTAAGACATGCATGATTGCGGCCTCCGAGGACTGGATTTGGTCACCCTAGCGCAGGGGTGTCAAACTCATTTCACATTGTGGGCCACATACGGCCTCGGTCGATGGCAAGTGGGACAGAGAGAGCTACCATAAAAAGGAAGTGGCCTCACGTTCGCCTTATTTCTATTAAGGTTACTCAATAAAGGTGGATGAGAGGGCTTAAAACAGGACTGACTTCTTAAAACCGAGGTAGTGAGAAACTTAGACGAACGAGTCCCTCTAATGCGGGCGAGGGATAAAGGTAGTTTTAACCCTTTGACCGGAGAGTCGGCCAGAACTTTCCCGATAGTCCTAAAGCTAAACAGGATTTGACTACATTTACAGTAGGTTTGGGGTGGGCTCAATGATCTTCATTGATGATGAACATGATGGTAGCAGCAAAATAAACTCTGAAGTGTACATATCTGATCAAGTCGGAAACATGCCTGATAATTTAAAGACAGATGCCACCAAACGGATTGGGAGATCAAATCAACAATTGAGAGCACATTGGCTTTAATACTGCTGTTCCTAATTTACAGTTGTAATACATGTTAAAAATTTTCATGTCGTCTTCCACGTTGATGACACTAACTGTTTGGTATACAGTATATGTGTTTGTTTACCTTGCGCATTGCAGCACACAGCACATCACTGCCTTTGTGGATGGGGACTTGAACAGAACCTAAGAATCGCACCAGGAACTGCTCTATCGAACCATCCTTTTGTCCTGAGAGAGTGAGAGATGAAGAAAAAAAGTACAGTAATATATTTTATCATTAAATCACTGAAAGGAAAAGGAAATTGCCAGAACAACAGTGACGTAGCATGGGTTGCTAGCGCCCAGGTACTGTATTTGTGCCACACCACATATCAGTATATGGATCTCATCTTCGAGTCCAGCATTAAGCCTTTCTGCCCCTTTAGAGCAAATATTTTCTTTCTTGTGTTTGGAAACATGGTAGTGAGCCAACACCACCAAAAACCCTCCACATCGTGAATAATATCTGCATTATGTCCCGTACGTGACATTTTGCATTATCTGTTGATCCACATAGGGCAAACGTGGTCTGGACCTTTAAGATCTCCTCACTACTTTGTTGTTTTCTACCACAGTGCTGTGGCACAATACTGTGCCACGAGAGATCATGCAGGTGTGAGGTACAATTAACCTGTGTATCCAGCTGTTGACAATTCCATTCATACAATTGAATAGTAGCTTTGTGTCCCACTGAGTCACACTGAGTGAGTAAATTTGGAAGAGATCATTCTTATTTCTGTGTATGTGATGTGTTTTCACACAAAACAGGCAAGTGTCGCGGAGATTAGTTTTGAGTTACGGTATTGACAAAAATTGATCGTTTGGTCAAAAATGTTGATTCCAAGATTTTTCAAAAAATACCCCTCCTTAATGTCTTTTTTTTTTCATTTTCCCAACAGCCCAAAGGTTAAAATTGAGATTTATGAAAATAAGTGATTCGGAAATAAAGTGCATCATAACTAAGCAAACTTTAGCCGACCATAGGCTAGTGCGTCTCAATAACCAGCCGCCTCGCGTCTAACGTCAACGTGACGCATCCCACAATGCTCTGCACAAATCAGATAGTCAGTACTTTGAGTAAACGGTGCCACACTTTTACAGTGGTAGACAACTGTTGTGCACCAGGGTGCAACAACAAGAAGATAGAAAAGAGGGGGAGACCATTCTACCAAAAGGGCAATCAAGATGTCGTCAATGGCCAGCAGTCCTAAAAGGTCCCCAAAAAATCAGAGACGTGCTGTTTATCGGCTGTGTAGCAATCACTTCACATCAGGTGGGTCAATTACTGAATGAGTTTGTGTAGATCTATCTTAAATGAAGGTGAAAGACGTGATCCGGCAGGTGGGACATGGCGCCTGAATGAGTAGATGCTAACATACCTAAAAACAATAGGGCAAACTAATTGGGAAACACAATTTGAACATATGCAGTAGTGTTTGTTTGGGGAACTGTGGGATGGCGGAAGTACCAAGAAAAACCCAAACATGCACAGAGGGAACATACAGTATAAACTCCAGTTTGAGCTGAGATATTTAAACAAGTCACCTGTTTAATTTGAGGTGACAGAACAAACCATTGGCCACCATACCGCTGATTACACCAAAGTCATCCTACTCACATGTCAAGACTGATATAGAGAGTTACGTTTATATTGAAATTTTCACCTTTGTTGGAATTTTTGGTTAGCCTGACAGCATAGAAAGCAGGGAAGATTCCTGTCGCTCCGGTCCTCATGTTATAACCCTGACACCACAGATCCTCAGACTGGTTGAGAATTAGGACTGGGTCATCTGTCTCCAGGTACAGTTCATCAGAATGACGAGGAACAAACCTAATCATGGATAAAGAACAACACATTTCTGCCCGATATCTTGATTGACACAAGCTTACAATCACAGTGTTCGCATGTACTGTAAATGTGCTGACCTGTACACAGCTCTGTGGCTCTGCTGTTGCTCCACTCCATCCAACACACAAGAAAACACACCAAATGAGCCAGCACCTAAAAAATACGAATCTGTATCATACACATGATCACGATCTGTTTTTCTATATGTCTCATACTATGGCATCGCACAAGAGGACTTCATGGGAACAAATTGCATTATAGTGTTTGTTCTGTTGCGTTGTTGTTATTTTATGTTAAATGTTCTTTAAGGTGCTTTGTAAAAGCTGCAGCTGTTGTGAAAGTAACATATAAATCAAGATGTATTGCATTGTATGGGAGATTCAAGAATTTAGAGTAAAGTCATTCTATAAGACATTTCTAATGATGTACGGTAGTATCACCTTTCTTAATGTATCTCATACACAAAATGCGCAGCTTGTTACTATATTTTATTCAGGAATAAAAATGACCACAGTACAAGAGGTAACAAACCAGTGGAATTGTAGTCATTGTCAGAAGAAAACAGGTTGAGGAACTTCTTGCTTCTGGGGGCACTTGCTCTCCCCCCATTAGACTCCTCCTGGTCTGATGTTTTGGTTGACATTATTTTGGGCTGCTTGCTGACCCTCGCCACCACCTCCCTCCTCCTCTTCACTTCCTCCTCCCGCCGCCTCCTCAGGTCTTCTTCTTTCATCTTTCTCTTCTCTTCCTCCTTTCTTTTCAGTTCTTCTTCTTTGCTCCGACCTTGGAGCAGAAAACACAGAAATGAATCAGATCTGATTAAGGAATACTTACACTCTTAGGAGAAAGGGTTCCAAAAGGGTTCTTCTTGAAGGGCAGAGGTTCTACATGGAGACATTTGCTACTGAAACCCCCTTTTTTAAGAAAAAAAAAAAGGGTTCCTCAAGGGTTCTATGGATTCCTCTGAGAACCATTTCAATGCAGAGAAACCTTTTTGGAAGTAGGAATTCTTCAAGGGCTGTTGAAAACGCGGGTATTAGAAGATTTAGCCATGTTTCAGAATTTTCATTGCAAATTTATCTGGTATCCCCATATCAATTCATTGGTCTGCTACAGTATTTTGTCTACGGTCTGCTAATGTCTTTTCCACAACCCCAGCTCATGAGCCCAAAACCCTCTTTTGGATTCTCTTTTGGAGATTGATTAGTTGACCTGTTTTTCCTTGGGTGTGAATGGCAAAAAGGGTACAGAGTGAAGGGGTGTTAAGAGGATTATGCTTTATGTTGGTACATTTGACCCTGAAAGCACATAAAAACATCCATCCATTCATTTTCTATACTGCTTATCTTCATTAGTGTTACACGAAAGATGGAGCCTATCCAGCTGACTTCTGAATTTCACTCAATCACACATATAGTGTCAAAGAACCTACCCTACATGTTTTTTTTTTTTAAGATAGAGGAAGCCATAGTGCCTGAAGAAACCCCACGTAGCATAGGCAGAACATGCAAACTCCACACATGTTGACCAGAGCAGAGATTAGAACCATAAACCTGAAATGCCGACATGCTAACCACTGGAACACAAAGATTCCCCACAAAATTCCTCGTTGAGCATTTCCACTTGCAAGTTTGAATTAAAAATGTCTCACCTTGCTTCCTCGCTTCATCTTCTTTCCTTTTCCTCTCCTCCTTATACTCAGGGTCTTCCTCCTCATTGGCTGACTGATAGACCGTCTCAGCATCGCTGTCATCATTGTGTCCACTCTTACCGTGCAAGCAGTCCTTGACGCCAACCAGTTCCAGTTGAGCATGTTCATCAACCGCCAAAGTGTATTTTACAGAGTCACAGTCTAACACTGCAGATGCTTCATTCATTGGTACAGTTTGTGCGCGTACAAGATCTGCCCGAGAGACAGATTTGGTGCTCTCCGCTTCAGTCACATTATCACCATTTCCATGCACTGGCTTCATTTTTAATTGCGTCTTCTCTGATTTTGCATCACTTTCTAGGCAGGATTTTGTACTTTGATGGAGTTTACAGGTGGAATATGCTCCCTCCGCTTCTTCTTCACGGATGTCAGGGTTTGCAGGATGGGATAAAGGAGGATGCTGGGGTTCTGCTGGAGGTCCTTCAGTGTCTGAGCTTAGGGACATTCTGTTGGATGCCCCCTCACTGCTCGACTGGGAACGAACAGTGGGATTATGACTTTTCCTGTCATGGTTTTGGCCTAGGTCAACAAGCAAATAAACAAAGATTAGTTCATGAACATGAATTTTGTAAATAAATATGTTATTATCCAAGACTATTTAATTTCATTTGAGAAGGACTTTCTTGTAATGTGATTTTACGGGCAAAGACAGTGATTTCTGCAAGTGCCTGATTGGGAGGAATAACCCCTGCATCCATATGGGAATGTCCATATGGGAGAACTTTGACCGCATCCTAAAAGAGGCAGGGGACAGTGAGTCTGAGTGGGCCATGTTCTATGCCTCCGTTGTTTAGACGGCCCACCGGAGTCGGGGCCCTAAATTGGTCGGTGCCTGTCATGCCAGGATCATTTTTCACATTAGCAGCTCCATTAGCTATATTAATTGGAAGGCTGTTTTCATATAAACAAAAATAATCATAATAAGAAAGTTCTAATTCATATTTAAAGTTTGAAAAAAAAATCATAATATTGAATGGTAAATGCTCATTGAATAGCAGCCTTTTACAATAAACACTCAATTTAAGTTACCAATATCTTGCAAGATTCATTGTTTTATGACTTTATATAATAATAATAATTATTATTTTTATTAGTAGTAGTAGTAGTAGTAGTAGTAGTATGGTGAAACTGTCTTGAAGTCTGAAGTCAGCAAAGCTATGCGATCAAATGTCTCGCAAGAGGACACACCAATAGGGCTAATCTCCAATTTGAGGCCAAAGGTGATTTATTACCTTGGACTTGGGTCTTGTCCTCTTTTCTTGGTGCTACAGGTGTGCGTGGGACTACCATGGCTGTCAGGTAAACTTGGTTAGGAAGTGAGTTGTTGGGCTTCCCCCTTCTTCCACTCGGGTTATCCTTTCTGGAATATAGTTTTGCCCTCCCATCTGAGCCTGAGCTTTTAAGTCCATTTGCTTCTTTTGCCCTTTGATTGATGGTTTTCTCTTTCTCCTTCCCCTTGGATTCATCACACAGTCTTCCACCCCTTCGTTCTTCCCTCCCTGATGTCACTCCATCCTTCCCTCTGATGTCCCCCAAGCTCCTCTCTCTCATTGTGCCTGTTCCTCTCCCTGCCCCTCTTCCTCTTCCTGCTCCCGCTGCTGCCCCTCTCCGTTGGCTCCGAGGCATGCTGAAGGACTGAGTGTGCGTGGCTCCTTGCGGATGTTTTTCTCGCGGTCGAGCCCGCGTGTCGCCAGCTGCAGCTTGAGTGCTGGCTCTGCTGTTTGCCCCATTGACAGTTGGAGGTTGAGGGGCTGGGCGGCGGGTGCAGGGTCGGACTTTGTCCTCTGCTTTTGATTGGCTATCGGGTCGTGTTTGATCCCCTTTAAACACAAAGAAAAGCATCTGATTATTTATTAGGTAACCTGATGTGGAAATCTAGAAAGGGCTGGAAAAGCCACACAAGACAATCCTGTAGTCTGGATTTCCACCCATTATTTTGATTTGTACTTACTTTGTTAAAACAGGAATCATTATTATTTAAGTATCAGTATGGACATGTGCACTGCTAATGAAGTAATCTAAGATTAATGCTCATTATTATCTCAAGGTTGATAAAGCAAACCTCATTTTCACCCCCGGCAGCGACAGAAAGTAGACTCGACTTGAGACCAGGTGAAAGCAGGTCTAAGTTGTGGCGCAGGTGGTGTAACCCAATGTGATGGATTTTGGTGGTTCTGAGCTTTGCGGACATGTGAGGTGGATGCTATCATATTTCATTCATAATTTTAGTTTAAAATGACAACAGCATGTATCAAACCATATAAATCATTGTAGAATCAATTAATTGAATGCATTGTTATTATTATTATTTTCCCAGCCCCTCCCCCAACCACGGCAACAGCTGGTGTGTGTGTGCATGTACGTGCGCGCGAGCGCGCGTGTGTGTGTGTGTGTGTGTGTGTGTGTGTGTGTGTGTGTGTGTGTGTGTGTGTGTGGAGGGGGAGAGTGAGAGGAGTCACACACAGACACATGATGAGGGGTGGAGGTTTTTCACAAGTTTATGTCATCCGCCAGTAGAGATCTTCTTGCAGTTCCTTAAACCTACTTTGCATGAAGCGATCTCCACCTGTCATGATTCGGTTTGGGACCAACAGGTGGCACTGTAGGGCTCTCCCTGCAGCTGCACACCTGTTGGTCATTATGTAATTAGTGTTTTAAAAAGACTCCCAGCCCGAACACTCGGTGTCGGGTCATTGTTGCTTTTTGCTGCTGTCATGTTTGTTTGTCAGTCATGTTTCGGTCATGTTTTTGGTCATGTTTTTGTTATTGATAGTTTTGGGCTTCAGTCATGGTTTTTGGTTGATACTTTGGACTTTGTTTGTTTAGGATTTAGTTTTTTGTGTTTTATCAATACACTTCTTCAAATACACCCTGCTCCTCCCTCTTGCCTGCTTTTTGGGTCCACCACCACCTCGCTACGTGACACCACCATGTAGACCGTGCTCCTCATCAACACTGAATTTTTAAATGGAATGAGGGGAACCACTTTGATTCACAGTGAATCAAGTTGGTTGTGCTCATTTCCACAGTGGCACAAACACCTATTTCCACCTACGCACGAATACAAAAATCCCCAAAGAAAGAAAACTCCACCCATGCACACAGACCATACTTTGTGCTAGATTTGTCCAATTGTCCATACCTGTAATGTGTGGGGAAGAAGATCGAGAGTCCTTCCAGCTATCCTTCTTCCCTAAAGAATTGTTGTTAATAGTGTCCTGGGGAGAGATGATGAGAAAAGAGAATAAGTGTGAGAGTGAAATACAGAATGCAGTATGACTGAACTATCATAACTGTTCTAATTACACCCATAACACATATTGTTCACAAAGAAAGCAAGCAAAAGCTTTACTATAGTTGTGTTGCGGATGTGTTAGTGTGCAAATGTGTGTGTGTGTGTGTGTGTGTGTGTGTGTGTGTGTGTGTGTGTGTGTGTGTGTGTGTGTGTGTGTGCGCATTTGTAAATGTACCGGTCCGGTATGTATGTCCTCCTTATAGAATTTTAGCATTAAATAAATTAATGAAAGCGCTCCAGGAAAACCTGACAAAAGCTCTAATAATTTAGCCTGGGAGGAGAATTGTGCTTTGAATAGTTAAGAATAAAAACATCATAGACATTTTTGTATTTGGTAACTTGGAAAGTGTAACATGTTATACTGCATTCATTCTGCCTTCCAACCTACTGCTATGCTGCCTTGACTGGTTGCCAGTTAATCCAAGGGCACATACAGCACATTCGATCAATTCCCATTGAATAAACTTTTCCTGTGATTGACTGGTGACCATCACGCCGACCTCACAGTGCAGTGGTTCGATTCCAGGTCTGGCCTTCCTGTGTGGAGTTTGCATGTTCTCGCCGTGCCTGCGTGGCTTTTCTCTGGGTATTCCGGTTTGCTCCCAGTTTCCAAAAACATGCATTGAACACTGTAAATTGTCCCTATGTGTGAATATGAAAAAAATTTAAATATAGGCCATTCATTGAAGGTGCGCCTCATAATCCAATGCACCTTTTAGTCCGGAAAATACGGGTGGGTATATACTGTGTGTGTGTATATATATATATATAGATAGATAGATATATAGATATATATCGATATATAGATATAGATATAAAATTTAGAGAGATAGAGACTTTAGTATTGTATTTAGACGTCAGTACTGTATTACATTTTGTTCTAAAAAGTGGTATTGCATGTGATGTGATCTGGCTGATGCAGCATCCTGGGGTCAGGCCAGCTGGCTCCGTGGTGAGAGAGGACAAAGTGCATAGCAGCCAGTCAAACCGCTTTTGCCCGTGCGGAAAGTCAGAAATTGACTTTATAGCAAGCTCTGAAGTAACTATATAATTAACACGTAATTGCGTTATGCCATACTGAAACATGTCTAGAATAAAGTTGTTTATGCATGTAAACGTTGGTTTTCTTTAATATATGCACTTCAGGTTGTGAAAAGACTGTTTCAAAGACAAAATAAATCAATAAGTGGGTATCAAATCCTTGTTTGTAATACAGTATTAGCACATCCCAACATGGTGCAGCACAGTTCTTAACCACAGCAATTACATTTATAATAATCAGGTGACTCGTATTCGCATTGAACGTAAATCAGGTTTTCCATTTCTCTTGAAACAAGTCAAAAATTTCACAAAGTAAAATTACAGGATTATTGTTCATTTCATGTGACGGTAAAAACATTATTGATTTTGAATGACATAAACCTGCACTGACATCCAATCCAAGATGCTTAAAATAACAGAGGTCAAAACAATTGTTCCATTGCATTCGACTAGCTTCAATTTTCAGCCCTTATTTTTTTGCCAGAACGGTACTTTGAATGTCTCCTGTTCTGCACCTGTATCGCATGACTTTTTTGACTACTGTATTTGAATTTCAATTCTGTCACAGACAATATCAGTAGTGATACTTTGACACAATAGCTAATTATCATTATTGTATGTCCTTGTAGTCCATTGAGCTGAGCCTCTCATCAGGGCTGCAGTATACAAATCATCCATCCATCCATTTTTTAATCCATTAATCCTCACAAGGGTCGCGGGCGTGCTGGAGCCTATCCCAGCTGTCTTCGGGCAGTAGGCGGAGTACACCGTCGACATATAGACAAACAAGCATTCACGCTCAGAATCGTACAATTTGGATTGCCTGATCAACCTGCCGTGCATGCTTTTGGAATGTGGGAGGAAATCGGAGTATGTGCTAACCACCAGAGGTGTCAAACTCTGGTACTGGAGGGCTGTCGTCCTGCATGTTTTCCACCTCTCCCTGTTGCAACACAACTGATTCAAAGGCTTCTGCAGCGATTGGTGATCAGCTCATCACCAATCGCTGCAGAAGCCTGATATCGATCCTGTTCATTTGAATCAGTTGTGTTACAACTGGGAGAGATGGAAAACCTGCAGGACGGTGGCCTTCTTGGAGCGGAGTTTGACACCAATGACTGTTAATCAGTCGACCACCGTGCCTCCTCCTGATGAACCATCAACATTAAATGACCAGAAAAGAGTGTCATGCATCGTAGCACAGCAGTGCTTCACGGGGAAAAAGTGGAGAAAAACACTTCTTCTTCTTATTCTTATCACCATGACCACCGTGCTGCCCAGTAATCAAGTCATGTTACCATAAAATTTGAAGTTCATGATTATTAGCTAGGCGGCCAGATGTTGACTGGTTAGCACGTCGGCCTCACAGTGCAGAGGTGCAGAGTTCAATTCCGGAGTTTGCATGTTCTCCCCTGTGCCTGTGTGGGTTTTCTCCGGGTACTTCGGTTTCCTCCCACATTCCAAAGACATGCGTGTCATGTTAATGGAACACTCTAAATTATCCCTGAGTGTGAGTGTGAGTGCGGATGGTTCTTCATGTATGTGTGCCCTGCGATTGGCTGGCAACCAGTTCAGGGTGTACCCCGCCTGCTGCCCGAAGAGACCTGGGATTGACTCCAGCATGCCAATGACCCTTGTAAGTTGTGTTTTTGTCTTTGTAGTGTATTTAATTAAATATAGGTGAACATGATTTGCAAATAATTGTATTCTATTTTTATTTCTGTTTAACACAATTTCCCAACTTCATTAGAATTGAGTTGGTACTTTGTATTTCCATATCTATCTGCAGTGCAAATAATTCCACAATAGCCTAAAAGAAAATGTCGAGCTTAATTGGTAATTACAATTTTTTTGCCTTCAACTTTTGCTAGCCTGAAGTATATCTTGGTTATCACTAAGAATAATTTTTAAATACTGATAAATAATAAAAAAGTCAATCAAAAGTGAGAGGTTTAGGCCTTCTGGTCAAAAGGCAAGTACTTTAACAACCCCGTTATACCGTGACAAAAGATTACATTCCCTGCATGATCTAAACAAGACATATTGTGTCTATTAGTATTCTTGCATGAAGTGACAGAACATGTTGCAATGGGAAACTTCAATGCTGATGCTAAAGGGATACTGCAATGAGATGACTCCACTCTGATAGGAACAGACACTGTAAACAGGATGCAGCTCATTTAAAGAGGTACTGTTCCTGTTCAATCGAGCCTCCTAACACTACTCATTACTGAAGCGTTGCAAATGCGAAAATTGTTGATAAATTCTTCATGAAACTATGTGTCAGCTGGCTTTGTTTGTATGGGTGTTTTGTACTGTACTGCATACATTTCTGTAGAGGATATTATAAGAGGATATTCACTGCTAAACCAAATTTTGTGCTGACCTGCTACAAAGACAATATGAGGCATTTATATTTGTGTGAATTTGCCACAAACACAGACAGACAGAAACTGCACACATACACCTGACCGCAAGGCAGACACAAACACACAACCATCGCTGTATCATGGTGAAGACATATTGGGCTAATGATACTTGCTTCTAAGTACAGGATCCGCCCATACTCTCTCACAAACACAAACAGACACATAACGTAGTCAGCTCATTTCAATGACATCCAAATCACAAGGGTGGACCCATCCCTAATCCCTACCTGGGTGCCGGCTTGTGGTCGTTGTGGCATAAGAGCTAGCGTGGTGGGCCTCTTTGGTCGATATTTGTCCATGACAGCACAGATTGAGCCCCCGTGGAGCCGTGACAGCCTCCACCCTCCCTCCTCCTCCTGCTCCTCCTCTTCCTCTTTCCCCCCTTTTTAAGCCGGTGTATGTTCTCCGTCTCCTCCACCTCCCTGTTTCTCTCCTTCTTCCTTGTCTGACTCCTGAATCAGCCCCAAGCTAGACAGTGGACACACCCCCTGATACTCCCGTCATGCTTGATCATTGGCCAGGCTCATTGTCAAATCATCACCGTCACCATCATCTTCCTGGCAGGACCAGAGCAGAGACGAGAGATAGAGAGACTGCAGGAAGATGGGAGATGGAGAGAGAAGACTGGGTGGATGATGTAGTAGATAGATGGGGTGAATGAGGATGGATGATTAAAAGAAGGTGAAGAGGGAGAAAGGGGGGAGGAGAGGAAGTCATCGCCAACCAATCATCACAAGGCATGACATCATCATCTCCTCTGCTTATGCTGCATCCCGTAAGCGGGTAGCACTATGAGTGTGCATCAGTTGTTCTGTTAAACAAGAGTAGGCTACACCGTATAGAATGAGTTGAAAAAGAAATTTTTCTTCACAAAATGAGAAATCTCAAATGAAGTAGGGATGCTGAGTAAACAGGCTAAGGGTGATAAAAAAAGAATTCTCTTGGTAAAGCAACAAATTGGTCCAGGTTGGTTGAAGACCATGCCACTCCAAGGCTGGGTGTCCCCCACATGGTCACACTTAATACCAATCAAACCAAACACGATTTATCCCTCCCCACGCAAGCTGTCACACAATGACTGGACCCTGGATGACACTGCCCCTAGTGAAAGTCCCACGGAAGCACAGCTATACTCCTCCATAAGAACTCTCTAGCACAGGGATGGGCAACTGCCGGCCGACAATCTGAGTGGCCCCTTGATAAAAATAAAAATAAATATATATTTTTTTTAGTTAGGGGGAAATGTTTTTTTATTATTATTTTTGACAAATTATTTAAAAAAATGCTGAATCAATTTTCGTTTTACACAGGCTACAGTGGGTGAATGGAAAAAATGACCCTGTGACTAGTCTTCAACTCATTCTCTGTATTTCTTCTCTGTTACTCATTGCACTCATTTTTATATTTCTCATAGATAAGTGAATTCTGAATTTTATCTCAAAATACATGATGCATGGTTGATGATAATTGCTGAAAACGTGCAAAGACTGAGAACTGTAATACCGGTATTCAATTGTAGAGCTATAGCGTTAAACTGTTTTTCACTATTTCAATTTCCCTTACTTTTGAGGGCATGGTTAAAACAGCACCCAATGAAGCACTTGGGCATCCAGCATGAGTCACTTCCCCAGACGACGTAATACAAGTACTGTACCTTCATTCCATCACTGGTTATCTGGCGCAGTGGACCATATGCATGGCAACACTTGAAGCAGTTCTGGTGGAAAGCTGAGGAGAGGTCTGAGTTTCTGTTCTCCACTTGTTCGGCGCTCCAGGGTCGCCAACTGGAGGAAAAACAATCTCGTTCCATTAGGGCCCCCACACAGTGACTGATGCGGTCGAACCCAACTGAACTCTCACTCCATCCAATGTGTGGGGTTCAGGAACTACTTTTTTCATGGGCGGGTGAGACTCGGCCACAGGTTTTGGGAGCGATTCAAAATTTGAATTGCAAATTATATTCATTCAAAATGCATCAAAAAGCCACAGAAATACAACATATACACTATATACTGTACATATTGTATGTTCACACCCTTAACCATTTTTATTATTATGTACCATAGGATGAAATAGCAAAGTTTGTGTACTAGTAGGCACTGCAATGACTAGATTAAATTAAAGGTGAATGAGCCCCACCTCAAGGTGTCCTCTGGTTAGGTGCACGGTTCGATTACGGCTCCGGCCTTCCTGTGTGGAGCTCGCGTGTTCTCCCTGTGCGGGTTTTGTACTTTGGTTTCCGCCCACATTCCATAAACATGCATGGTAGGTTAATTGAACACTCTGAATTGTCTCTAGGTGTGACTGTGAGTTTGAATGGTTCTTTGTCTTTCTTTGTTTTTGTGTCCGCTGTGATCGGCTGACAACAGGTTCAAATGGTGTACCCTGCCTCATGCCCAACGTCAGCTGGGAAAGGCTCCAGCACACCCGCGATCCTTGTGAGGATAAGGTGGTTCAGATAATGGATGGATGGATGATCACAGAAATAACTAATGAGAAAAGCAGAGTAATATGTAAAAATGTATCTTGCTTTTGAGTTGTTCAAAAGAATAAAAAAAAAAAAACAACTCATGAAGCAGGCCTGCACAAAAATGATGGTACCCCATGAAAAGTTTTCCCCCAGGTGAGAGTGGCCAGAGAGTGACATGGGTTAGCCATGACCACATCATGGTCACCATGTAGCTCCGCCCCTGGACAGTAGGTGCAGCAGCAACCTGGCTTTGAAAGGCATCTGCGAGGTTCTTGTGACTGAGGATAGCGTAATATTAAGGGCCTGCGCCAAGGCACCAATACCACAGAGAGCCCTCTCCATCACCCCCAGATGCCGCTTTGGACGACCAAAGAGCACATTCCAGCAACGCTCTGAGTTCCCGAACGGTCTTCTGAACGTACCCTTTATGTAACAATTACTTGGCCTGCTACTACCTCTACAGTGTGCGGTTACCTCACTAACTATGCATACAACCCAAAATGTACTCCTTCCCTGATTGCTACAATTTACATAACAGTTTAAGATAAGATAAAACCTTTTTCTCACACTGGAGAAATTCGCAGAAATTCGTTTTGTGTCATTATTTCCCAAGTGTATTAAGTATGTGCTCTTGTGATGGGAATTCCAACTCTTAACAGATGGGCTCAACTCACAAGAAAGCCAGGTTCCTTTGGCTTCCATACAGCTCTATAGATTTTTTTTTTTTAGATACTGCAAAATCACATGTGATAAACTGATGTGCAGGAGGGGCGTAGAGGCGTGGAACCAGGCATCCAACTCAAGGTGGGCATCAAAATGAGGTATGGTGGCTATTTGGGTGTTTTTTGTTTGTGTTTTTTTTTTATGTAGACAGCGAAATATGAGTAAAATTAAAAGCGCTGTGTTAAAGAAAACTAAAATAAAACCTTTGTTTTTATGTACCCATTATCCAAAACATTTTGCTTTACAAGGCGCGGGCCATCCCGCCCAGTGCTCAGTGAAGTGAAGTACAACTTTATTGTCAAATGCGCTGTATGTGCAACATACAGCACAGATGAAATTTCTTCCCTCTCAAACAGGCAAGACAACAAGAGGAGCCGCTGCAGGTGCCCGCGCCGCCATCAAAAGAACAGTAAACATAAAATGACAAAATAATATCACACATAAGACACAGCCGTGCAATCTTAACCAGCCAAAAATGCTGAAAACAGTCCACACGACGGAACAACACCACCATGTGACAAAACAAAAGGCAAAAACTGGGACTTTGGCAACTGGAAGCGTTTGGTAAGGGTGGGAGCTGCTACTCTTTTACCTCCCTGCTAAACCACCTTTGAGCCTGCAGCACGTTTTTAGATTAGGCTCGGTCTTCTTTTGATTGACAGCGCAATGTTACCAATTTTAAAAAGGTCCCCACACGAAATTCTTAAGTGCCTTGATGGTCAAGATTACACTCTACTTTATGAGTGTAATCATGCCACAATAATGCAACCTACATTCTCAGTCACCTCAAATTAGTTCGGCTTTTGGGCTTCATCGTACAGCAGGAGGGGTGGGGAGGGTCCTCAGATGCCTCTATTTTTTTTCAGGCTGGATTTAGTACAGAGTATGTGCTACCATACAAGCCAGACAACACTCAAGCGTCACAAGAGCCCGATATCAGGTCCTGGATATCACACCCCACGTAGTTCTAAATAAACATGACTAGGATGTGACATAATTGAGCGACGGTTCAAGGTTCAACCAAGGACATTGTGCACAGTACATGTCGATACAACACAACTTTATATAGTGCATTTCACAACAGATTAATCCAGCATTTCTGAAAGTTTGTCAACAGTGACAAAATAACCACAATTTAGTCCCCTCACAGCAATAATCAAGTATAATTTTAAAAAGCAGAGATGGGATCAAGGTGCATAAATAGACACCTCAAATCATGTGGCAAATCAAGAGAGTGTGGTCAAAAGCTAATCGCAGCAACGTACTTATCCAGCAAGTTCTCCTTTTGCATTTCTGGCACCTAGTAGTCTGTGTGGTTAGCACGCTAGCCCCTTTACTTTCAGGAGTGATACACACACAACCCCTTGTTAGAGTACACTACACGCAATGAAAAGTAAGCACACAAGCCAACTCCATATGCGGGTCGCATTTTAACAGTACTAGGCTTTATATAATTGTATTAACTGTTTTGTAATTCCAATAATTGCTTCCAAGGAGACAAACGCTGCAGTCAGTCCTTTGGGGGGAGAAAGAATTCCTTTTTAAAACAAAAAATTCGGACTGACAAAGCATTGAGCAGAGAGTTTAAGTCTTACCAGCATGAAGTTTTCAAAAGCTACCAGGGCTTGGTGGTTTTAGCAGGTCTCTAGTTTTTGGCAAAACGCCAGTAGACTGGCCAAAAGGGATAACAGGGCTCACCAGGTATGTAAGGAGTTTGAGCAAACACAACTCGCCCTCGTTTGTATCTTGCTTCAGAGTCAAAGGAGTAGACTGGCTCTAGATGAGACACTTTACTAAAGAATGGCTTGTTGAGTTGATCTCTGGCACCAGAACTTAGAGAATCTTGCCATTGTTCCTCTGGATGTGGTGGTACAAACGCATTCGGGTCAGGATATACACCACAGGTGTCAAAGTCCGGTCCTCGAGGGCCGGTGTCCTGCATGTTTTCCATCCCTCCCTGTTGCAGCACACCTGATCCAAATGACCAGTTCATCAGCAAGCTCTATCGGAGCCTGATAGTGATCCTGATCATTTGAATCAGGTGTGTTGCAGCAGGGAGGGATGGAAAACATGCAGGACACCGGCCCTCGAGGACCGGACTTCGACACCTGTGATATACACCATCGTACCAGTCACTGTAAAGTGGAAAACCTGGCCCATCACCAAGGACACTAGGGTCCCAAAAAGGAACATCCCCCAAACTAATACCCTGAAGCTCATTTCCATTACGTGCATTTTGGCTTTCATGATTGTCAGACTCATCACTGGAACTGGCACTTCGAGGAACAGGCAACTGAGATGAATCATGGTAGACTTTTGACCAATAACTTGCGTCAGCTACTGTCACAGCAGCCATAATCTGAGAGGGGGAGGGGGAATAAATGTTATATCAAGAAAACAAAAGTGAACTGTGCTTTCATATGGTATAGAACTTAGCAGTTTGTAAAAGATTACAGATTGTGCTTCCAATCAGCAGACAAAAATGCCACATCCTGCTGTTTTTTTTTAAACATTTGATTTTACCATGATGCCAACTACTATTGTATAGTTGATCATATTCACAACAAACTCACACTTACATAACACCGCTGGAGGAGACAGGACAGGTCTGCAAAGTTATGACATAAAAACCACTATAACTTCAACTCAGTCAAAGCAAAACAAGAACCACAGCCCCAACAAACACCTTTCTTTACCTGCTACGCGCCTACCAAGTGGTTTGCACAGGAGACTGTCTGCAGTAGCACTGAGACCCTCTTTTAAGGTGTCCATACACAAATTAACAGCTAACTAGAAACAGCCTGTGAGAATCAAATGGAAATGGGCCGTATGAAAAAAAAATCCCCTAACCCTCTCTTCTAAACTTTATCGGGATCAAAGCTACTTTATAAGAATATGATTAAGTATATTATTAAGATAAGTATTATTTTCACTCTTAAGATTTCCAATTTGAGTACTTTGAAGACAGCAAAGTCGCTGTTCTTAGTTAAATAAATATATATTTTTAAAAAATCCCTGGCTGCATACATGTGTGATGTGTAAACATTATCGGTAGGTTAAAATTTGGCACATATTTCGCGGGAATTTGTCGCCATTTTAAAATATATCATGACGTTGCTTTTCAACGTATCTCATCAAACCAATCAAATGTTGACATATTTGTCGATGATGTGGCTAGCCAACCAGTGAAGCCGAGAGAAATCTGTCAACGCCTACTTTGCGCTGCCCCCGCCACAGAGTCGCCTCAGAGTTCAGTTTGACAGATAGTAAACGTCGGGACCGTTTTAGAAAAATCGCCTTTTGTTTTTTTGTTGTTGTTGTTGGTAACTTCTTGACTGAACCATCTATATTTTGCTCTTTTAATAGAATGAGAAAGAATTATGGTGGTGAATTCAGTGCACTGGTTTCGCAAATGTCTTCGTTTACACGACAATCCGGCGTTGCAAGAGGCCCTGAATGGAGCTAATACAGTGCGTTGTGTTTATATCCTGGACCCGTGGTTTGCTGGCGCCGCCAACGTTGGCATCAACCGATGGAGGTTTGCTACGTTCATATTTACTGTAGTTGCTATTTACAAAGTATATGTTAATATTAAGTATAATCTTGCAATTTGTATGATTCATTCCGTTCCGGTCTGGAGTTGAGGTTCGGGCCTCCTCCTGACGTCAGGTGGCTAATGCTAGTTTAGATGGAGAAGGTGCGTATTTACTGTAATATTCATCGACGTTTCACCAACGCGTCGCAGAGAGCGCAATGCTAAGCGCTTACCTTATCACTGTAGTGAAAAAATAAATCCATTGGATCGTTTTAATTGTGCCACCAATGTCTTAAGTTACAGGTCTCGCTGGCACTCGCGTTGTTTTGATGCACTTTGGCTGTTTCCAATCGGATTCGGTATTTTCTTGAACCGCTTTTTACGTGAAGGGTTTACGGTCAGTGCGTTATATAACGTAGATAATGAACATGCTGCGTCAGGTGGAATTTGGTGGAAAAATGTGTTAGATTTATAAAATGTATTCCCTGTGACGCGTTCAGTTGCCATTTATTGCTTTCCTCATCAAGCTGAAACAACCTTTACCGAACGAAATTAAGAACCATATTTTCAATGTATTCGCCGATGAAAAACGGAATTATGTAGATACAAATGTTATGTAAATGTTGCTTTCATAACGAAGTATTGACAGCAGTAATTCTCAGGGTGGAGATGCTTCAATCAAAAACGCGCGCGCGTGTGTGTGTGTGTGTGTGTGTGTGTGTTTGAAAGAAATTAATTTTCCTTCTTTACTGTTGTCAGAATCACAATTACATTGATTCTGGCGGCAGAACTGAAGCAACTTTCCTTTTTGAAAAGTGCAGTACTGTATTATTAGGCCGGGTTACATTTCCATAACACATTCATTCACTATACAAGATTGGGGGCATTTGTCTCCAATCAGAATCATCTATATTGGCCAAGTATGTAGAACACACAGGGAATTTGTCTCCGGTAGTACAGGCTACACTAGTATCATCAATAACAAGAAACTGCGATAAACAAGGACATGACAAATAAGTATAGAAAGGCATTCCGTAATGTAAGGGTACCGTTGTGCGGTAGTACCACCCAATGACAGCTGTGAGACAATGTGCAAAGTATCAGGCAGAGATAAAGTGATCATTGGTAGAATACAGTCTGTAACAGTTGTGCAGTTGGTGCAGAAAATCATTGCACCTTTTTAAAGTGTCCAGTAGCATTATTATGCAACTTAATTCCTGTCCAATGGCTCACTTTTTCCCCTCCTGAAGGTTTTTGCTGGAGGCACTAGAGGACTTGGACTGCAGTTTGAAGAAGCTCAACTCCAGATTGTTTGTCGTCAGAGGGCAGCCTGCAGAGGTTTTTCCAAGACTTTTTAAGGTCTGATCTGTACTCATGTGATCATTGTACTCACCATGATATTATAACATGCCATGCAATTAACTAGTTTGACCAGAGGCATAAGCAAACCTCATCATGCAGCACAAGAAGGTATGCCCAGTTGCTGCCTCACTTACTGGTCTCATTAAAATGTTGTACATTTATGACATTGTCGTGTGTTTCATACAAATATTTACAGTAAGTAGGCTGTTACGAGGCTGTTGGTGCCCTTCTATAACCCCTTGACAATGTGACATTTCAAATCAGTTCAAACATGATGCATTATTTGTTTTGTTTTGTTTGCAAGTAGGATTACACAGGCTACAACAAATAAATAAAAAAATAGGACTTTTAAAAATTGCTGTCATCTCTGTGCCCTGCCCACTATGTTATCGTTAATCCACTACTAAATCAATTAATTATTATGAGTCCGGGACATTCATATTGTTTTAAATTTTCAACAGGCTCTCAAGTTGTTTTATGTTTTGTTGACACCCCAATCTGATTTGGCATTTCCTTTCCAACAGTTGGTTGAATGGGGATGTGACGAATGCGACACATGTCGAAAAATGTTGATAGTTCTCATTGAGTTTAGTGAAAGGCGCTTACAAATAAAATGTATAATAATATTATTATTATTATTAGTCAAATTATTTTATCTCCCTTCTGTACCGAACATCTATCATATTAGAGTTTCCTTTACATTTTTTTGTGTTTTTACCCCTTCAGAATGATATCAGTGATGATATTTTAAAGCAAAACAAAACAGTAGACCGAAAAACAAAAGAAGGCTGGGAGCTGGGGAACTGTCATTAGTCTGCCGAGAACACCAAACACTGAATGCACGATGATCTTTTTTTTTTTTTTTTTCTTTAATCCCATGTTAAGTACGAGTTGCTTGTCAAGCTAGAATGGTAAAAGAATTGTACTTCCATTGTGGCATGCACAAGGTTATGATGTACTTTCACCCTGTTCCTGCTTGTCGCACAAGGTCATGTCACATTTTTTTTCTAACATCGGATAAAAATGTTCCTTCGTATTGAGTCTATAGTAAATCTGATATTTTTCACACTGTGGCATGATGGAAACGACTTGTTCATGTACAATTTTTGATAGGAATAGACACGTTGCAAATTTTAGCAATCATATTCCGTAAAATCGTATTTTATCTCATTTGTCCAACCTTCGAGGCTTGGATGAAGGCTTTCATATCAGTATTGTGTATTTTCTTTTTATCTGTCAACAACGAAATCTACATTTTCTACATCTGTTTTCTTCATAGTTTTTATTTAATGTGAATAACACTGTTGATAAAAAAATGACAACAAATCCTTGTCTCTCTTCAGGAATGGAAAATGACGAGGTTAACTTTTGAGTATGACCCTGAGCCGTATGGGAAGGAGAGGGACAGCGCCATTATCAAGATGGCCCAAGAGTTTGGAGTGGAGACTATTGTCAGAAACTCTCATACACTCTACAACTTAGACAGGTTTGTGACACATCTACATGCTCATGCAGTACAAAGTTAAGACCAAAAGGATTTGTGTCATGGCCAAAATCATTGGTTCAATGGGTATCTTCTGGTTAGAAATTACATAAGAAATCAGGAAAACTTAATTTGCCGTCTTTTATGCATATTACTGGAAATTCTACTGAAACACTATCTTTCACGGTATTCTAAAGCAGGAGTCTCCAACCACCGGTCCGCGGACCAGTACTGAGTCTTGGCCCATTGGGGACCAGGCTCCACAGAGACAGACCTGCGAGCTTATTTCATCAGACGTGACGGAAATGTGCGCGACTCTAACCAATCGGAGTTCCCCCTTCTAACATTCGTTTGCAAGTTGAAATTAACATCCATCCATTTCCTAAATTATTGATCATCACCAGGGTCATAGGCGTGCTAGAGCCTATCCCAGCTATCTTCGGACAGTAGGCAGGGTAAACCCTGAACTGTTTGACAGCCAATTGCAGTGCACATATCGACAAACGACCAATCACACTTAGAGACAATTTCGAGTGTTCCAGTAACCTACCATGCATGTTTTTGGAATGTGGGAGGGAGAACATACACACTTCATATAGGAAGGGCGAAGCTGTAAGTTGGACATGCTAACCAGTCAATCACTGTGCCGCCCTGAAATAAACAGAATTTGCCAGTCAATGAAAGAAGAAGCTGTAAACAGAAAGTAATAGTAACACATTGACCAAACATACAGCTATACGCGCAACTGATGGGCAGCCATGACTTCCGAAGGTGAGGCTATTTTGACAAGAGAAGTTCCTCCTCGAGCAATCTGGAAGAGGAAGCTGTTGTGCATTGCATATCGTCAAAAACAAGGCAATACAAGAAACCCGTTGAATCATTTGAACAAGTAGCACGCAGGTGAACAAGTGGAAAGCATGAAAAAGTGAGCAGAGTTTGCACAGCCTGCCCACGTGAACATTAGCAGTTTAGTCGCGAATAACTAGCCGACAGTCACTGGATAAATGCGGCAATCAATCATGTCATCTATTGATCTTTCACATTTGCAAGTAGCAATGATGCTCACGCCGTAAGTAGGATCATAACTTTGAATTATTATGTTTCAATTATGAGGTGTAATTATTATTCCTGATTGGCCCATTTTTTAGAAGTTCTGTGTATTAATTTTATTCTACAGTTGTTGTACAGTAGAATAACTTGAAATGAATGAAAAAAAATCTTGCGTTAATGGAATGTTTAATTACTCAATAGTTATCTTTGTTGTCAGTAGCAACGCTTTAAAACTGGCAATTTAAAAACAAATGAAAAAAATGCTCACCGGTCCGCGAACAACATGCACTTGGCTCAACTGGTCCGTGACACAAAAAAGGTTGATGACCATTGTTCTAAAGGATGCGGGTTAACATTTTGCAAAATCTAGGGCAAGCATGGGCTACTGGTACTGTTGAGTAAGGGTTGGGGCAGAATGCCATGTGAATCATGCCCATTTGGTAGCTTGGGTAGCAGACGTGGCGCCAGTGCAATGAGGAAGATGCATAACATTTAATCTAGATTTTTGGCAGATTTGCTTTTCAAAGGTTTGATATGTGGTATCGAAAGCTAATTCTCCAGTTGTATGTTCACAGTCTTGCCCTCTGGGGCTGCGAATAAGATGTGAGAATTGAGTGGTCTGCAGACATTACTAACCAATTGAACAGGTGCATATTTGTTTTTAGTCAAAAAAAAATGACAACGGTGGACATTCCAACATCACAGACAGTTGCCCGTTTTGCTGACGACTGACGGGAAACGGACAGAACATGAACCGACTGAAGTGAGTTTTGGTCACTGTAATCGTCACTAACCCAGTCAGTACCAACAAAGCTTTTCAGTCGGTCAATGACTGACTCATGTTTCGATGACAACTGACAGCAACTCAAGCCATGTGTCTCGTGCGGTTGTGTGCGGGGATGACTACACTGACAGAAAAAGGCTTGAACATGCCCCGTGACCCTTGTGAGGATAAGCGGATCAGAAGATGGGCAGGGGTGTAATCAATTTTTGAGTAACTACAAAACAAGGACCAAATTAAAGGTGCAACAAATAATTTTTTTTTTTTTTTGTTAGTTAATTGTTTATTGAACATACAATACAACAACAATTGACAAAAGGCAAGCAAAATTACAAAAGGAAAAATAAAAATAAAAAGTAAATAAAACAAACATCATCATCGTTATATGCTCAAAGGAGTAGGAAGAAGTATACAACTTATCTAGTCCTACCCCTTGTTGTGTAATAATATAAATAGATCATTTTTCAATATATATACACACACATATATATATATACACACCTACATATATACATGTATATAATTATTCATTCTCCTTTTTATATCAATTGTCTCATATTCATTATAAATACTGCATTTCTTGAATATATTTAATGAGTTGATCAAAATCCAAAACAAGAACAGACTGTTATATTACTATATTTTATAAGTATGTCGAATTTATCTTCTTAACTTAGATTTTTGTAGTTTGTTTGTACTAATCTTTTAAATTTGTTTTTGAACTCGTCCAGCGATTTACTCATTTTCAGATCCGTTTCAAGCTTGTTCCACAGATTGACTCCTATTACTGATACACACCTTTGCTTGATGTTTGTTCTTGTTCTGGATTTTTTATATTGATTGATACCTCTATGTGCATAATTGACAACTAATTGATTGTCAAAAATAAATCAACAATAATTTTTGGTAATCAATTAATCGTTTACTTTTTTTTAATTCAATTTGTACAAATGCTCAGAATTTCAGGTTTTCAACACTAAATATTGTCTGATTTCTGTAGTCTTCCATAAATGCAGACTGCTTCATTGTCTTGAATCAAAAACAAAATGAAAAAAATATTTTTTTTATTTTGGAAAACAATGCTAAACTTTTTTTGCCTATTTTCTGACAGACCAAATCAGTAACTGAATCACACATAAATTTATGTGCATTTTCTACATTGTCAGTTGGGGGAAACAGTCCTGTGTTTGAAGAAAGGAATGAGAATCAAAACATGTTTTTGGGGAGACACTATACATCGATTAATTGACAAATTAATCGATTATTAAAATAATTATTAGTCGCAGCCCCAACCTAAATATTGTGGAGTGTTAATAGAGGAGAGTGGTTGAACAGTTTGCGCAAGTGAAAGAAGTTGGTGGATCAGCTATTCACGATGCGTGCTAAGAGTTAACAGTGCCAGTCCAATCCCAGTCACAAAACTGGACTCCAAAACACTAACAGTGACTCCGTTTACATTCATTCAATAACGCTTTCAAAACATGAATATAATGTTTTTTATTGACAGTAGAAAGTAAGAATCGGAAAGAATGTATATTTGCGTTAGAATGGTGTCTGTGTGTTGCGTTTTTGATGGGAATATGCAAACCGATCACAATTGCCATGTTACAGAGGTAACTCTGTCTGCACACACGTATTCCCAATGTTTCAGAAACCAGAATTTTCACCTTGGCTTGAATATCGGCTGCATATAAACATAGTCAGTGTTGCTGGTGTTCCAGCAATCACACGGGGTATAATTCCACTGGCACTGTTTTTACGTGTAAATTGGCACCCGCACAGAGTTTCTGCGGGGCCAGAAGGCTCAGGTACTCATCACAAATGCAATTGCATGACCCTGTTAGGTCACACTGCTCTCTAAATGTTAGGAACAGATTATGAGACTGCGTCCAAGGTGACAAAATGGCTCTTGTGCACCTTCTTTCCTCATGCCTGGTGTGCTTCAAGGAAAGTATTCAGATCAGCTCAGTGTTACATAATGGTTTGGAATTGAGGTGCATTGATCAATTGACAACAAAACGTTTAGCACTAATTATTTGGTGTAATCGATTAATCACTGAGAGACTTTAATTTGAAATTGTGCAAATTTTTTGAATTTCAGTCTCTTAAGACATGAACAGAATCATCTGCTTTTGCTTTGGAAAACAATCTATTTCCTAACATGTTACGGAGCAAACAAGGAACAGACTCTTAACAAATTTATGTTTGTGCATTTTCTGCACTGTCGGTTTGAAAAAAAATATCTTGCTCGCTTAGGGAAAGAAATCAAAACGTTTTTTTTTTTTTTAATCATATAATGGTCTAGTTAATGAATTATTAATGGCAGCCCTAATTTGGAACATACCGTACATGTAGATGAGACTGAAGGAAGCTTATTGCTTGTGTGTGTATACAGTACTGTGTGTTCTGGGAGGTTGGGGGGGGGGCGGGTTGCTTGAGTGCTTGACGACATGTGCTTACTGTGCTCATTCAGACCAGTCACAGTGAAGTGACCAATAGGAAGCCATGTCTGCTGCAAATCCAGCAACCCTGGATCCACGAATGGCAGACACTTATACACAAGTTGTATAAGATAGAAAGTAAAAATACACAGCTTTGTCATCAGCCCCAGTGGCAAGACAAAAATAAACCACTGAGTTGAAATGCAAATAACAGACACAGGATTTACTGTTGTGTTGGTGTGTTATAGTAACTACCAGGTAGGGCTGTCACTGTTGAATATTTGCAGAATAGATCATTTGTATTGATTATTCCATTGATGAATCTGGTCAATTTTATTTAGTATTAATCCGTAGTGCAACATGTTTTTTCCTTTCCTGTTTCTTAACCCATCATTGTCATTTATTTGGTATTGAATGACTAAACAATGCCAAATAAACAGTTAAACAATAAAATACAAGTGTGGCTGATGTTTTTGAAGCTTTTGAAATCTTTAACCTATGGTGGCGTGTGACCTGCGTCACCGGAAGTTGTTAGCGCTCAGCAGTCTGCAATTGCAGCTTGTGATCGGAGCTGTTGCGCTATATCTTTTATCATTATCACTATTCTCATTCAGAGTTTGTTTCGTGTACAATTCACCGAGGGCATGGGCAAAGAATAGGAATCTGGAGGGCCGAGGGAAGCACTTTAAAATGGGACATGTGAGCTACGATAGTTAGCAGGCTGCAAAAGTGCGTCGCATGCCTCCGTGTCAGGCTGTTGCTCATCATAGTGTGCGTGTGTATGTGCATGCGCGGTAACGGGTTGATCGAAAAGTCGATCTTCGGTCCAAAAAGTTGGGCACCCCTGGTTTAGATGATCACTCTGTACTAACAAGACTGCTCGTCAGCCTTGTTGGTCGGGAATCTCACTGTCTGTGCAGTTTCCATGTTGATACTTTCCCTTTGGTAACATTGCTAAGTGCTAATACGTGTTCCATTCTGTCCCCATTTCCCCATTGCTTGCAGGATAATAGAGATGAACAACAACAGCCCTCCACTGACCTTTAAACGCTTTCAGACCATTGTGAGCAGGCTGGAGTTGCCCAGGAGACCGCTGCCTTCCATCAACCAAAAGCAGATGGACAAATGCCACACTAAAATAACAGACAACCACGACCAGATTTACAGTATACCTTCATTGGAAGAATTGGGTAAACCGATGTTTTTACATTTGGTCGTGAAACGTGATCTTTTCTTGTGTCAAGATTATTAGCCATACAGACACACAAAGACATTATCCCTTAATGTTGCACAAGTCGAGTTAGTGTTTCTCGTTTCTGCACCAAAGCATCAATATTGTCGCTGATTGATAAGAGCCAAGATTTTGGAGTTGCTTGGAGGAAGTAGAGTCAGGCTTGGTAGACTGGTATTGTGGTGCTCTTTGTCTGCACTCATTTTTGGCATCATCAATGTCTCCAGGTTTCAGGACCGAAGGTTTGCCTCCAGCAGTGTGGCGTGGAGGAGAGTCCGAAGCCTTGGACAGACTCAGCAAACATTTGGACAAAAAGGTGATCTCCATGCACACATTGACACATTAGATTGCTGTTTTGCCGAGTACGGGCTGGTAGATTCCTTGATTCCCTTGCCCAATTGTCACAGTCAAAAATCCGTTTCATGCAACCAGCTACATTTTTAACGTTCAATTAAAGGAAGCTGAGTTCTGTACTGTTTTTGCCATCCGCAGTTTCTTCTAGTAAATAGAGTCTCTCTTCAAACCCTATCCGAATAATTGTCGAGTTATTTTAAGTGTTTCTCTTTGTGGGTGTGTAGGTGTGGGTGGCTAACCTGGAGCATCCTCGGGGGAACATGTGCTCTCTGTATGCCAGTCCGACCGGACTGAGTCCGTATTTGCGCTTTGGTTGCCTGTCCTGTCGGGTCCTCTACTACAACCTCCGAGAGCTCTATATGAAGGTACCACATATAACTCAGGCTAGTTTGTTCTGCTTTCTTAACTGCTGCATCACAATTGATCTCTCGACACTTCCATCTTGTTTGAAATTAGCTCCGGAAGCGTTGCAGTCCTCCTCTGTCCCTTTTTGGTCAACTGTTATGGAGGGAATTCTTCTACACTGCTGCCACCAACAACCCAAACTTTGACCGTATGGATGGAAACCCAATTTGCGTTCAGGTGGGCAGTGATCAAACTTAAGGCCCCATTTAATTTTGAATGTTTTTTTTCCCCCATGATGTAAAAATAATGCATTCTATGTTTGCTTAGAATATCTTTGTCTCATCTTTACAATTGTTTGATAATCTTCAACATTAAAATGATGAAAAACAGTGCCCAAAACAAATTAGAAGAGCGCAAATAATTTTCCTGCCTCTATCGGAAGCATTTTGGCTGTTATGATATGAGTTGGTGTCTACGAGCATTTCATAAATTTAACTGCTTGATTCCTCATGTAAATAGATTTATTCTTTATTTTTCATTTTTGTCACAGGCTACATTGTAGTTGTTTTCCCTCGGACGGACCTTTATAACTGTCAAACCATAAATGTATAATTCATATAACGCCTGCTCAACAAATATGGATCACTAGTTTGGAAATCACAAGTCAAGGAATGTAATTAATTGCTCATAATTAAGTTTTAAAATAGGTTTGCATATGATTTGCTTTAACAGGCCACATAAAATGATGTGCCATGCTGAATCTGGCCGTTGGGCCTTGAGTTTGACATCTGTGTTTTAGTGGATGTGTAAATTAGCACAGTGAAGTACTTGGTAGTTGTTAGCACGTCTGCCTCATGATTGAGAATTCCTTGGTTTTAATCTTTGCTTCGGCCCTGCTGTGAGAGTTTGCACGTTCCCCTTGTGCTTTCTTTGCGTTTCTTTGGGTACTCTGGCTGCCGACTGGTCCAAGGTACCCTGCCACTTGCCTAAATTCAGCTATTATAGACTTCAGATCACTTGCAACCCGAATGAGGACAAGCAGTAATCCAGCAAGGAGAAAATGGATGACTGATGTTGGGGGAAGAGCGGCCTTTCTCTTCCTCCGCGTGTTCGTTAATTTCGGATGATGAGGATGTTGGTTATCCAAATACAGGCTGGAGTCAATGAACAGTTCCTTCGAAGGGTTCAATTAATTTTTCTGCAGTTTACGAATCGATTCGGGCTCCTGAGGGTTTCAGATTTCAGTCAGGAAGCCCAGAAGAAACACGGTCATGAGATTATATAGAGACAATATGATAATGAGAGGCGGGGAGTTGCGCCTCCATGCAAATCCCAGAAACAAAGAAAGTAACATGTCATCTGACCCAGTGTGGCTGGAAGAAGTTGGGAGTGGTGAGGTGAGACCAGACCACCACTACCCAACATTTGATGTGATGGCAGGAACACAGATACTTGAGATCACAGTTCCTCTTTTGATGTTAAACATGTCCTATGGAGGGTGGCCCTAAAAGTGGTGGGGTTCGAGAGGCACTAAAGGTGATTGTAAACACAGTGAGCAGGAAATACCTCCAACAACGTTCTACATTCTTTGTTTCTTTCAAATCCAACTAACAGAGAGGAATAATACCTTAACACTGGATAGACAGTATGCGTGTAATCTCCGCCCCCCACACTCCAAATAAAAAAATAAATATATGAAGTATTATGGTGGTGCAAGTGTAAAGCATGGTCATAAATCTGTCTCCAGATTCCATGGGATCAAAATCCAGAAGCATTAGCCAAATGGGCTGAGGGCCGGACTGGATACCCCTGGATTGACGCCATTATGACCCAGCTCAGAGAGGAGGGCTGGATCCACCACTTGGCTCGGCACGCTGTGGCTTGTTTTCTCACCAGGGGTGACCTGTGGATCAGCTGGGAGAGCGGCATGAAGGTAGGACAAACCTTATGAAACGTGGTTGTCTATCAGGTACCATAAATGTGATACATGGAGCAGCTCTTAGAATCTTATGTGCCTGCAGGTGTTTGAGGAGCTGCTGCTGGATGCGGACTGGAGTGTAAATGCTGGCAGTTGGATGTGGCTGTCTTGTAGTGCCTTCTTTCAACAGTTTTTCCACTGCTACTGTCCTGTTGGTTTCGGAAGAAGAACTAACCCAACAGGAGACTACATCAGGTTTGTAATTTGTGGTTCAACACCTCATATTTGCGGTACAGCATTTGCATTGACACTTACATGCAGATTTCTTTTGGAACCTCTACTTTTTCTCTGAAAAATTCTCATATTTACCATTTTTGTGCATGGGCCAGTGTTAAAACTTTCATGTTTTTCATGATGCTTAGTTTTTATTTCATTTTGACTTAAATTTTTCAAATTCATTTTTTTAACCCTTTGTTTAGTTTTTATAATAGTTGTAGTGATTTTTTTTAAATATATTATTTCTTAGGTGCGTGATTAAAAATTATAAAACAGCACAGTAAGTATTGTGTTATAAAAACGACTAAATATATTTCAGTAAATAAGCAGATGAACAACCACCAGGTCAAATACAGGTACTATTCAGCAGTCTACAGACTTTGAAGTGCAATGAGTGCAGTGCATAATACTGCTTCTAAGGTTAGATGCGTCACAACACATAGTGAAACCCTTCATAAGGCACATGCTGCATGGGCTTTGGGTTTTTTTTTTTTTTTTGCTTTTTGTCCCCCCCTATATTGAATATATGGCCCCTTCAATCTTTAAAAGAAATATTTATGGTAAAACATTTTATTTTCCTGCAGGCGTTACATCCCCATCTTAAAGGACTACCCAAATCGCTACATCTATGAGCCCTGGAACGCGCCAGAGTCAGTCCAGAAGGCGGCAAACTGTGTGGTGGGAGTGGACTATCCCAAACCAATGATCAACCACGCCGAGAGCAGCAGACTCAACATTGAGAGGATGAAACAAGTTTACCAGCAACTGTCACATTACAGAGGACTCAGTAAGTCTGTCTTGTGCTGTGTTGATGTGTAAAGCATGTATGGCATGCCCAGAAGTAATTTTCTGTCTCACTAAGATATCCTTAATTGATATCCAGAAGACAATGTCAGGTGTTACAGCATTTAAAAAAAAATAGATTGTAAAGCATTCATTTTTAGTAACATAAAACCAAACAGTGACATCAGCCCCTATACTGTATTTGCAACCTGCTGTTCCAACTGTTAGTGGTCTCAAGGTGTACAAAGTCGTGGCTATATTCCCCAGGGCGGGGCGAGAAGGAGAGCTGTAGTCGTCCTTCACACTGGTATATAGGTGGTGCCGAGGTTTTACTCCTCTGTGCACAGGCCACATCAGTGGTGTCAAATTTAGGGCCCATGGGCCATATTAGGCCCATAAATGGATTTAATCAGACCCGCGAGTCCAAAAATAAGTAGAGCCCGACTAACTAAATGGCCGATGTTAGTTGTATGCAAGCAACACTGATATTCATATTTATTACATGTAACTATTCCATAAGTTTGAAGCCTGATGTATGTATAATTGTCAATATTAGAAATGTCCCAATCTGATCACGCGATTGGAAATTAGTGTCAATCCCATAATTTTCATCTGATCCACTTAAATCCCCACGTTGGATGGTCGTACCAAGAGGAAAAAGTAAAAACGCAGTAAGCATATGCAGTGATCAAATGATAACCAACGAACAGGTTAAATGGCTGGTATTCCAAAATGTTATTTGAAGCATTGCTTTATTCGAATCAATTCTTTGCACTTGACTGTATTCCTTGAGAAGTTGTATATATTTACATATTTATTTTTAGTTAATTTAGTGATTATGTGCTTTATGCCAAATATGTGTTTTATGACAAATGGAAAAAAGCTAAAAGAGAAGAGCCATAAATGCTATCTTGCATTATATAAGAGATCAAAAAGGCCACGCTACTCACGGGGGATCGGGACCAGGCCGTCAGTGCAGCGGGAGATTGAATTTCTAGTTTCACAATTACAGTGTGGATAACGTCACTCATTGGTTCCAGCAGCTTATGGTTGCATATAAATAAACTACTGCAATTTTCTAACAGCGGTTGGTTTGTCTGCATTTTGGGGTTGGGTAACCTCGCTCTCAACATAATGATTAGTGGAAGGAACATGAAATCTCCGCTCTCCTTTTTCACTTGATGTCACATTAGCAGCGACTTTCCTCCCTTACCATTTCATCTTTTTTAAAAATTTTGTGCATAAGCCACATTTTTAACTGGAGCATTTGTCAACTGATGCTCCACTGTACTTCAAAGTGATTGGCTTATTTGCATTTTTTTTTAAGTTTCATGTATCGATGACAAGATTGTCAAAACCTGATCGTGAGGTCTAATTTAAATTTCACAAAGGCGTAAGTCAGTTTTTCTTGTTTGTTTCTTTGTTTTTCTTGGTTCAGGTAAGAATCATAACACTGCTGGAAAAACATATATTTTTATTCTGTAAAACAGGATTGTTGTATCAATGTTCATTTCCAGTAAGTTGAAAACTATGGAAAATATCCATTTACCCAAGAGGGGCGTGATTATCTCAAATCACTTGAGCTCTGTTTGTAGAATACTTTCAAACAGTCATCTGCAATATCACCTCAGGCTTGGCAGAGGTCTGTTTGTACTGTACGTAGTACGTTTCTTTAGACAATATGAAAATAAATGTCAGAAATTAGCAAATGATATGTGTTGTAATTGTATCGGGTTTAATCATTGTTTGTGTTTCAGGTCTGCTTGCATCAGTACCAACGATCCAGGAGGAGGCAGAGCCACTAATGACCGATGAGTCCCAGACCAGCAGTGGCCCTGGTGAGGGCTTACCACATATTTCTTATTCTTCCACAAATACGTCACAATCGCTTTCATAAATAAAAACAGCACATGCCAATGTTTTCTTTCTCCCATCCCCAGACTCTCCCTCCGTAGTTCACGACAAAGCAACTGGCTGCGTTGCAGCTCCTGATTCATCCACAGTCTGTACATCTTCCCACACTGTTTTAAACCCCGAACTGGAGAGCGATGAAATGAGATGCTTATCCCAAACACCCGTCAACTGTTCAGATTCACAAATGCACCCCTCCGCAACCATAACATCAACATGTGCAGACCACTCAGCAGGTGTAGAGTCTCCCTCTTCACTAGTGCCCCCACCGGCCCAGAGCCCCTTAGCAAGGTCCCAGACGTGCACGCCTTCCTTAGTGTGTTCCACATTGCCACCTTCTCCTAGTCCAGCTACAGCCCAAACCCAGACATCTTCTTTCGGACCAAGAAGAAAAAGCTTTACCCGTAAGGTACGCCGTGGTCAGAGGCAACGAGGACGACATAGCTGCCATGCAGTAGCCAGAGAGGGAGAGAGGAGAGGTGAGGAGGAAGAGACGGAGCCAGGAGAAGAGAACGAAAAGATGGAAGAAAGTGTTGAGATGGAAGAAGAGAGAATGGAAGAGGAAACTTACGCAGGACATTAACAGTCGTACACCGTACATTAAAAGCTTCATTGCTTTTCGAAACATGTCAAAACAGAGTGATAAAACACATTATTGCATTTTGAAGATTCAGCTCCAAATACTAATTTCTCTGTATTTTTGTTTGTTGTTGCTTAAAATCAACATTTTGCCAACATCTCAGTAGCGCAAATAGTCCACAAACCCACATTTCATTTTCTCTCTTCTGTTTTGTATCGTTACGGGTAAATAGCATCTTACATCTGTTCTGGAAAACTGGACAAATAGACTGAATGAGGTGTTTCGAAAAATACACACTCACCAGAGGTACCAATGCAAAATCTGATTAGATCGAATGACTTTAAAATTTTCTTCACTAGCAAAATGTCAGTTTTGATTGACACTGATATTGTGTTTACTCCATGAATTAACAACATGAATAACAATTGCAGTTGTTCAGAACTTAACAATCAAAATCTTATTCATGCTCCTCAAGGTATGATGCAATTGTACACAATGTCAAACCTAAACCTTAAAAATAAACCAAGCCTCATCTTTGAAAGGGCATCTTTACTGAAACACTTCCTGTAGTAGATCTCTTTAAATTCTGCAGGTGTGCCAAATTCAGAGTCTGGTGAGTCTGTATTTACAGTGTCTTCTAAGTTGAAGCAGTCCCACGGCATTTTACTTGAGTAATTTGGTCGAAAACAAAATGGGAGACTGCGGTTGCATCTTGAAAGTAAATGATCAATTGCCGTGTAATATTTCAAACATGAATTTGGGTGATTGTACATTGTTGAATCTTAAGTGAGGGACTCAACAAACATGCAGCACCATATTGAATTGCTACTCGTGACAGTCTTGTTTCACAATTTAGTCTTGCCTGCTTTCTCCGACAATTTAGTCTTGCCTGCTTTCTCCGATTTGTATGAACATCTTCATTGAAACCCGACAGAACAGGATCACCTGAAACGTTTGTGCACTTCAGCCCAGAGGGCAAACAATTCTTGATTAACTGACGGGATAAAGCAGTGTGTTTTGACTTTTGCTGTAAAGCTATTTTAACTGAATAGCTTCCACGTGGCAGATTTAACATGTTCTGTGGTCTGCATTGCAACTTGGTGAAAATGAAAAATGGAGGCAGGCAGAAGGCAGGCTTCAAATGGAATGAACTTCTCATTACATTGTAGGTCCTTCAATATACAGCAATATACAACATACCTTTGGTAGCACACATGTATATAATGTACTGTATATCTATACAGTATACTAGGTGTCAGAAAGGTTCCATGACTGGAAAGATGTCTTTCAAGGCCAAACTATGAGTTTCCCCTCTTCAATGTGGGCCAGATTACAAACCAAGCACGTCTACAAAGAGGTCCTGCGGCATTTGTTATGTTGAGTGCCTGAGAGATCGGAATTGTGGCAGGACAACTTGTGGCTACTTCACCTTGATTGTATGCCTACTCAGAATGCGCTGAGTTCACAGTCACTGTAATGGGAAAAATATGAACCCTTTAGACAAGAGACAGGACAAATGCTTTTAGAGAAATGAGAAAGACCGTTTGATTATAACCATACTGGCGACTGCAACGAAGTATCACCCCACCTACTTATGTGTCAAGCATATACAAACATGAATGGACCGTTAGCTTTCCCCTGTGGAGCAACTGACCTTTGTTAGAACACGGCAGAGTTCATATGATGCGAAAATAGAATTCATACATTCGCGTTCACTGCAAAGAAATCCTTTTCAAACGGTCTCGGAAGAATCGGGAAAGTGTTATTAGATTACAGGTGTCTCTTCGACAAAGGGGGAAATGTGTAGTTTGCATTTGTAATATCCTTTGTGGCACCGGGCTTGGATTTTTTTGTGAAGTCTCAGAATACTGAAGTGCAGTCGAGTTTTAATATTTGCCGTACTTTTCTTCTGGCAATTGATAATGCTGCTTGTATTTAATGAATGTAGAGAAAAGCCTGAGGTGTTCTCCTCCAAATATTGTATTTATCAGAGTTTGTACATAAAATATTTAAACCCATTCAATGTCTCTTTTACTAACAGACTTCATTACACAAAAGGTCACATTTACAGTAAATGCACACTTTTGTAGTTGTCTTTTCCTACAGGCTCCATAATTAAAATTAATGTTCAACAGTATTTATTGTGTCAGCCAGTGAACATGAGATGTATTGTGAGTGACTAAAAAGTTGTAACTTTTGTTCAACATGAGAGTACGAATTAAGAATTTGCATTCACACGCAAATAGACAGGTGCGTTCCCCAAAAATAGAATATCGGGGGGAAGTCCATTTATTTCAATAACTTGTTTTAAAAAGTGAAACATTTACGTTATCTTAGGTCACTACACTCAAAGTAAAATATTTCAAGCCTTTGCTTCATTTTTGATGATTATAGCAGATATACCAAAAAAAAACGTGTTTCACAAAGTTAGAATGACAAAGTTCAACATTGTATCCCAAGTTTGTCAGCTAGTTAACACAAAGCAATTGCCAAGGTTTTCCTCAGTCTTTAAATTGCCTCAATCTGGTTTAGCAGGCTTCAGAATCATGGGGAGACAATTGACTTTACGGTTGTGCAGAAAAACCACAAAACCATCAGTGACACAGTGACAAATTGCAAAAGGTCAAAAAAATCTGGATGCTCACAGAGCGCTGTTTAAGAGTACTTAGTGTTACGTAAAAGGGGAAAATACGGTTACGAAAGGTGCACGTGTGACAGGGATGACCACAGCCTTGAGAGGATTGCCAAGCAATGGCGGCCCATAAATCTGAGAGAGTGTGTGTGTGTGTGTGTGTGTGTGTGTGTGTGTGTGTGTGTGTGTGTGTGTGTGTAGAGAGAGTTTTTTGAAAGGATGATTACAATCTAATTCTATTTTCATGGCCAGACTTGCTGCTGTAGCTTCTGCATAAGTTCTTTTTTTCCCCGACAGTTCCTAAATGCAACCTTATTACCAAATCATTGTGCGTCGTGACGTATTATTTCAGCGCCAGTAACATGTTTTTAGCAATTTGGCGAACAGTTTCCTGAAACATGCTGTAAAATAAGGACTCATTCACATGTTAAACATGTATTTGAAGACAACATGATTGCGGAAATAATCTCAGCATTGAATGTGCTGACGAAGCCCCTTGCTGGTAAGTGGGTTCACAATTTATAGCGGTTTGAAGTGAAATGCCACGTAACTGGAAACATTCCAAAAACCCGTATCACCGCCAAGCTTTTTACGCACGTAACGAATGTCTATTTATTTATGTATGTGTGTCATGGTTCGTTCAATGTTTCAAATAATTGGAAACACGTTGGCCAGACATTCCCAAACAGTTGTAAGGTAGCAAAGTTTTTCTTGTCGCCATCAAATTTTTTAACATATTAAAAATTTCGACAAGAGTTTACATTGTTGGCGAACATCTTGGGAGATTGTGTGCGACCTTGAAGGAACCCTGACGAAAAAAACAACATTCGCTGGTGCTCACCTACTTGCAAACCCTCGCCCCCAAATAACACGGAACCGTTTCAGTTTGCAAATTGTGGGCTCATTGGTCGACAACGAAAACAGATTTTTAACTCCATTATTTTTTTTTTGTTGCATTTATTATTATTTTTTTTCAAGGAACAATCGTTTTAATTGTATAATGAATTGTGATCTGTGGTCATTTGTAGATCTTTATTTTGTTGATTACGTTGTCAAACAACTGCATAGCAAGGTGCATATTGTTATGTGTCACGATAATGTTGGTGTTTTGTTTGCAGAGGCGTCTGGATGTAATGCACAAACCTCAAAGGAGGAGGCGCTTCTGTTAGCACTGCGGGGGAACATAGATGTTCTCCTGGAGCAGCTACACAGTAACAACAGTCTGCAGGAGGCAAGGAGACTCAGGGAAGATGTGTTGGTTGACGCAAGCTGGTACTTAAACGACACAGAGGATGTGATTTGGAGCTTTGTCCAGGAGTGTCTGCTTCTACTGCTCAGCTTAGCACGCCACCTTTCTGCTGAACTCAAGCTTTTCCAGCAGACACCTGCTCCTTCTGCCAAATTACGCACCCCTGAGATGGCTCCCCCCTTACCACCAGATGTCCTCAGTTTCTCTCAACAGAAAACAGTTGGAACAGCCCTTCAATTTGTGGTTTCTTTTGGCCTCTGTCCATTCTTGGCTCCAGGAGTAGGTGTGCCACTAGGTCACAGGTCTGCATTTGGTGCCATGGTGGAAAAAATGGTGTCTGGTCAAACTGCTGTTGGAGCAGCACACCAGCTTCTGACAACAACAACTATGTTGTTGCGCTTGGCTGAACTGTCATCTCTTGCCACGCTGGTGTTCACCCGGCACCTGGGAGATGTGATAGCGGCACTCTGTCAGCTCGGTTATCAGCCACAGAAGTCCAAGATGACAAGCAGCACAAAGAATGTTCAGGTAGTGCTTCCTCATGTTGGTTTATTTGCTCTCGCCATTGATTGAGTTCAACTCGTGTGTCTCTGTCATGACTAATTAAGGAAATCATCATTACCCAAGGTGGCCTTCTTGAAATGACTGTTGTATTGGATCTCATGAGATTGCACAAATTGTGTGTCTGGTGGATTGTACTGTATGTTGTAAATTTTTCTGTCAAAATGCTGGCACAGGCTGAGATTTTATTTTCTCTCTTTAGGAGTTGAGTGAAGAGGAACGTAGAAACAGTCGGGACGTTCTCCAAAGTCTTCTGGTAAAAGTGTATCAGCCAGTCGTTATTAAGGAGCTCCTCATTTTACAAGGTGGAGCCAAGAAGGTATGCCTGAGTCTTGTTTAAATGAAATAGAGACTGGACGGTGGATTAGTGAGTAGTACATCAGTTTTGAGGTTAGGGTCTCAATATGTGCCCTGTGATTTGCTGGCGAGTTGTCCAGGTTGTACCCCGCCTCTTGCCCAAAATTGACTGGGATAAGTTCCAGCTCACCTGTGACCCTGATGAGAATATTATGCAGTTTAGAACATGGCTAGATGGATGAAATAAATAAAAATAAAGGGAAGAAAAATACCAATCTGCAACTATGAGGCCCAAATGCAGTCATGGGAAGGAGGCTGAATGTACCGTCTGATGTCTCCCCCATAAGTCTGGTCCATTAGGAAGCTCCAGTAGTTCCAGAAGCAGGGGAGCCCCTGGCTGGCTGAGGCGTCTTTGTGGTCAGTTACTATCTGAGCGTCTGATGCAGCCTAATGGGGTCCAGGCTGTAGTCAGAGCCATCCTGGAGGGAGGAACAGGTGGGCGAGTGGCAGATGATGAATCCCAGAAATGCCAAACAAAAATGTCTCATTGAGCTTCTTTCTTTGATACTGCTTATATCCTCTAGGTGGGTCAGACTGGAAGAAATGTGACAGTATAGCCAAGATTCTCACAGCATGCCCCCAACAGTCTGAATCAGCTGACACCTACTATAAGCAAGTCTGTTCTCAGGTCAGTTTACAGACTGTAAAAATGCCTCATATAGCACCATCATGAAACACATAAATCAATATGAATTGTAATTTAACCGTTTACATCATTTAGGGTTATTTGATCTGGAGTCTATTGTCATAGTTTCATTAATTACCCTCATCTAATTGCATGAATTTGATTGGTTTGTCTTGGTGCAGATCCTTGAGCTCTTGCATATCAAAGACAAGCTTACAGCTCAACAGTTTCAGTGTGTGGCCACAAGGGCAGCTGTCAATTTGCTGCAAGAGAAGACCAGATTTGCTCAGCCCTACTTGCTGGTTCCTGTGTTGAGTCCTCTCTACCACTGCATCACAGCTACTGGTTAGTAACAATCCAAACACGTGCAAAAGATTTTATTTTCAATAGATGAAATTTCCAAGTCTGTCATACGTAGGGCTATGGCCAGTGATGCTGTGATGTTACTAAGTAGTGCGTTATTCCAAAATGTACATGTTTTCCATTAACAATTAATCAAATATGCATTTAATCTTGAAGTAACGTAGTGGCTAAATCCAATTTAAAGCCACTCAGGGGAGTAGACATGTAAGAGTGGTTTGACATGCTTTATCGCACTTGTATTGTTTAGGCATTTCTATTTACAAATGTTCATGATTATCCAACTGTAACGAAATGCTCCAAAATGTGCTCTATCCTTTCAAAACAATAAACAAATAAGGTGGCAAACTCAAGGCGGTCAAAAAAAAATCGACACCTAACTGTCCACTTGGTGATCGACATATATGCACCTGTTTCAATTGGAAAAATGCCAATAAACAAAGTACTGCCTGATTTTTTTCCAGCTGATGTGGACTGCCAAGTTGCCGTGGAGGAATGGGAGATGACACAATGTGTGGAGGACATTAACAAGGTCAGTTCGTCTAAAAGTGTCTGCAGTGTGGCTCATAAGAATGAGATATTTTGAGTTACGATGAACTGGCTTGCACGGGTCTGCGAAATTACCAAAACTTAGTTCACCTCGCCCCTCCCCCGCCTGCGCAGATTTAGATCTTACCTTGCGCCAAACTTACAATTAGTGATGGCCAAATGAAGCCCCATGAAGCAATGAAGCTTTGCAGCCAATTGGTTTGCACATGTAGCAAAGCTTCATGGTGCATTATACTCTATGGCGCCATCAAGTGGTCCAGAAGCCCAACAGGTCAACAGTGTTAAGAATTCAATGGCTATTTGCCTAAGACAAAGATATGAATGTGCTTGTGTTAGTAATTTAGTATGTGAACAAAATACAACAAGTGCTAAGGATAATTTGTTATTCATTTTTATTTCGAAATAATAGCTTTCCCACAGTGGCTGGCTTTACACGGTTTCTTTTTTTGGACAATGTGTGGGACAAATAAAGGATATCTTATCTTATCTTATCTTATCTTATTTCACCAGCTTTAGAATATATTCTTTCACAAGGCACAGATGAAACTGGCACTCGCAGAGAAATGCGAGTGCCAGTTTATATAAATTTGGGTAGGTATGGCCCAATTTCATGGCTCTCCTTGCTCTCATGCAAGGCTCTATAATGCCTCAACATAGATGAGGTGTTATTGTTGTATAAAAGTTCCCTTGCACAGAACAGACACTTCACCTGTGAAATAACAATAGTTATTTCACAGGTGAATGTGAAATAACAATAGTTATTTCACAGGTGAAAAGCTACATTGTCACATTTATATTAATGTAGTTTTTCTCCCTTACCTTATTGGAAGAAATCAAATCAAAATGTTCCCATACAGGGGAGGATTGCCTTTTTCACGCAGGTTCCATCGCAAGCAACGGACACGGCTCGAAAAAAGATTGCACTAGTTGCACTGTTGCGCACAGGTGTAACAAGTCCAGGAGCCCGAAATCCACAAAATGTGAGATAACAGGCGATCGCCATTGCGTTTTGCAACCTATTTATACCGTAGTCTGTACTGTGTTTGCAATGCGTCGGACCACTCACAAAGCATTTATGAGATTCAGCCGGCCGGCGAGGCTTCACACGTCATCATTTCCGGGTTTTGCCGAAATGAAGCGCGCCTCGATACAAGCTTCGTGGAAACGCCCCTCCCATTACTCGACACAAGCTTCGGAGCCTCGACCCATTTCGTCCCATCACTACTTACAATAGACACAAAAATAGAGCCCTCTATAGCAACTGCTATTACTAAGCGAAACCAAGCACCGCAGTAATATAGTGTACTACTCTTTCTTTCTGTTGCATGCATAATGAGTACATATGAGTTTCTAGGGTTAAGTGTTTTTGTTTTTTGTTTTATTTTTTTATACTCCAATGTCATGCATCTCACAGTTTTTTTTTTCCCTATGGATTTCTTGTGGTCAGATTTGGGTTGTGGGCAACAGCCCTTCAAGTCCTCTTCTCAGAGCATTAGAAGAAGTTCTTCCAGTTGTCTTCACACTCTTCTGTTTCACCAAGCAGAACGTCTGCAACCTACGGTACAGTTTTTGTTTTATCAGGACTGCCATTCGCTGTTTATGCATGGTGTCTTTAAAGCTTCCCAGTTTCTCCACATTTGGGGACGATAGGTCATCTGTAAGAACTTGTCTTTGGAACCGGAGTGTCATGGCTCAAGAGCAGCTGCAGAGAAAAGACATTGCAAACTAGTTGTTGGAGAGATGCTTGTCTACATCATGACTACTGTTAAGGCACCAAACTCTCCGATTAACCCCAGTTCATGGGGACAACACAGTTTGTGTGTCCCAGTTCTTCTAATTCTCTATGTGATGTGCAATGAAAATATACAGAGGTTGAATTTGAGATTATAATTAGTGTTATAAATAAATTAACAATACATTTTTGGTTAAGTGATGTGAATTGAGGTTTTTTTCTTATTAGGAGTATTCTAAACTGTCTTTTGTGTTTATTATTCTAAAATGAAGAGACATTCAGTAGTTGTTAAAAATGTGTTTAGTTCTGAAAAGAATTTTGTTCTCCAATGAGGTTGTGATGCCCTGGCTGCATTCACACACACGTGTGTCTGGTAGTTGGTGTCCTCTTCAGTCTAGTTTGTTTAATGTTCACACTGACATTTTTATAAACAGACCAGAGGACGTAAAAGGCAATTAAAAAATCCATGACGAGATAGATCATGGATGGATGGATGGATAAATTGTAGGTGCATTCTGTGCACATTGTGTCCTTTTCATTTAGTGTTCACACTGACATTTTTATTACCGGGCCAAAGGCTAAGCAATTAAATGATGCATAAAGTCATGTCTTGGTTGCTCTGCTTTTACAATGCTCTCTGGTGGATAAAATGTGCAGTCTTTTGTATTGTATTTTAAAAAAACACCTTTGCATGCCTGATCAACCCTCATTCACAGACTGGCAGAGAGCCCGCTCTTCCGATGCATTTGCTTGTCTGTACTGTTCACTATGCGTTTTCTCTATGCTAACTGCGTTTATCACTGATCCTCTTCATTGGACGCCGCAGCGTTCACATTTGAGCTCCAGTGTTGGTTTTAATTCAACCAAGTGTGACAAGTGTTAGCGTACCGTCAATCTCATCTCTCACAATTTTCACTAAAATGAAATATGATTCTCGATCAATCTTATTGCAAGTACAGTCATACCTTAGTTTTCGACCATAATCCGTTCCAGAAGGCTGTTCGAAAACCGATTTGTTCGAAAACCGAACCACGCTCTTTTTTTAAAAAAAATCTTTATTGAACACTTCTGCTCACAATGGAACGCTACACGAGGAAGCGTCACTTCCTCGTCTAAGGAAGGCGAGAGGATTCAAGTGGTGCATTCAAGTGCGCTCAGTTTGGTTGAGAACCGATTTTCGGTCATAATCCGAGGCATAAAAAACTCAAAATTTTTGGTCGAAAACCGATTTGGTCGAGAACAGAGACGTTCGAAAACCGAGGTTTGACTGTGCTGTACATCATTGCATTTTGTGGACTTAGGTCTAAAGCTTCTCTTCACCAGTTGAATTGTGCCCGGCTGCTATAACATTCAGGAAAATGAACTGAAAGCACTCTGATGATAAACTACATGGAATCGGGGGTAGAACCCACAGTACTGAGATTCAGTGTGTGCCGAGTCTGTCTGCTTCGATTTGGTTGGTTGAGATGAGAGACAGAGGGAGGGAGCAAGGGAGGGTGAGGCCAGAAAGAAAAAGAGAGGAAGGGATTAGTGGAAGGATGAGAAAACAATCACAGTAAGGATGCTACGTGATTAGACTGACGTAATAGGTTCTTAATCTACATATTAAAGTTATCAACAAAGGACAGTTTTGCACCTAATATTTCTGAACCAAACCATCCTGTATGCATTCTTGTAGCCGCTACTGACCAATAAGAGAAGAGAGCAATGTCACATGGTTTGTTGTTTTTATATATCATTGGACAAGTGTGCACGGAGGGCGAGAAACACTCGCGCCTGTGTGTGTGTGTGTGTGTGTGTGTGTGTGTGTGTGTGTGTGTGTGTGTGTGTGTGTGTGTGTGTGTGTGTGTCTGTGTGTGCGTGTGTGTGTTGTTGTTGTGTGTGTGTGTGTGTGTGTGTGTGTGTGTGTGCGTGCGTGTGCGTGTGCGTGTGTGTGTGTGTCTGCTTCACAGAGCCCCATGTCAGGATATTTTGCTGTGGTACCTGAGCCATGCTGAGACCTCTGCCCTCCTATCGCTACTCAGGCAGCTGTCAGGTTTACAGGATCTGAAGAATGAAGTAGCAACAGGCTTCCATTTTAGCCCCGGCAGCAATGGTGGAGTCCAACTTAGCTGTAGAGTAGGCTGCAGGTGATAGATCCAGTTCTAAGGGGTGGTCTTTACAAAAGATCTCTATTATAATCTTGACCGTGGTTTGTCTCTCAGTGATGAGGATGATGCTCTGTATGAGAAGCTGACAGGCGAGCAGTGGAGGCTAGAATGTCTGACTAACCTGCTGGCTGAACTCAAAGACAGTGATGTGCCCGGAGATTTCTTCCTTGACCTGCTGCAGGTGAGAAATCCAGAGTTTGCTTTTTTTTTTTTTTTTTAACAATTCAATAGTCATTTGTTCACCTCGGTCAAGCTCTGACTGCAAATCCAGTCATCTTGTCAAAATCAGAGATAACTATAATGCACCACACAAGGCAGGAGTTGTCCCGATTCCATCCTTTAACAAGCCTCACAAGCAGAAGATCATTGGTTTTTACTGCTAATACCCTTTAGGTCACTGATGTGGAATGAACCACAGGGAAAAGGTTAGCTTACTGGTGGCAGTGATATTTCAAAAGAGGGTACAGCATGAACTGCATACACTCTGATTTGCACTGTGACCATCCTCAAATGAAGTTTATTGTTCATTATGTCCATTGCAACTTCAATATATTCCTTTATGAATGCTGGTCTGCAGTTACATACTTGTGAGTAATAAATATTGTTAATTCTGCACAATCGATATTTGACAGTCTTTTACTTCAACTAATGGGAACCAAGTAAGTGACACTACGGAGAAATGCAGCATGGAGGACTTCAAATGTTTCTCATTAACGTAGTTAATAAATACTCAATTTCCGAAATGCTTTTTGGGGGCGGTGGTGTTCCTGCAGGAGCTAACCAGCTGGACGGCAGTAGCTGGGGTAGAAGAGGAGAAGGATGGACAGCACTTGGACATATCTTCCATGACACTCTTGGAGGTGGAGCAGGAGCAACAGGGTCGGGTTGCAAGGCAAGGCCACACATTGGCTTTGCTTCAGGTGTTGGCCATAATGGTGGAGTCCCTTCAGCATACTGTGATACTGAGAAAAAACATACAGGTTTGTGACCAATGTACGTCCCAAGAGATGCATCTGGAATGCTGAACAATCAATGACAAGTTCTTCTGCTGCATTAGGACAGTGACAAATGTAATATTTCATGGTTATGTTTCATTTGTCATCACAAAGAAAGATTCATTATTTGCCCCGCAGCCTTTGTCTGTTTTAACAGTCACATGCATACATCTGTTCGTTCTTTCAGGTTCACTGTATTTAGTCGAACTCCAGATTGTCACCACAATGCTCTGTAATTTCGAGAAACGAGACGGAAGACAGGCTCACCATTCTGAGGCCATAACACGATAAAACCAATTTCAGTTACGTCAAGCAAAAGAGAGAAAGCTGGCCTACAACTATAGCGACTTTTAAAGCATTCAAGAATCCCTTACAATTGAAGTGCCCCTATCCATTCATGAACAAAACACCAAGATTCAATTTATTCCTCCGTTAAATTGGCGGGCAAAATATCTGTGTATGTTGGCATTTGTAGTATGATCTTCATGAGCAATTTAGACAGCAATTCAAGGTTGTTGCTGTTGGTGTTTTTTTTTTTTTTTTAATGGGGAATACACACACACACACAAACACTCACGGCTCTAGGGAAAAAAATATTTTGTTCTTATTTGGCTCGGGCTAGGAGTCAGATAATGAAAGCAGGCAATGTTGAGTCATACTATTGGAAAAAAAATTGCTCAGTGGTTGTTGATAAATTGAAGCAGATTAAGGGAAGGGGCATTACAGTTTCGATAATGTATTTGATAAGCAGAGTAAATATTTGTTTGGTTTGAAATGTAGGGCGAACACGTTGCCTGACAGATTAAGACATGACTCTCGTACATTAGCATTACATCGTTGGATAAACTTATTTCTGGCACGCTAACCTCTGGATAGTGTTATACTGGTTGAAGGTTCTCAGATAAAATCTCATTTTTCTTCCCACAAGCATTTGGTACTTCTTAGCTGTTGTAAAGTAGTGATTGCTGTTTTATTTTCCACAACGCTGTACTTAATAGTCTGCGTTTGTCCAAAGACAATGTTTGATGTCATTCTGTCTTCTCCGCAGGTGATCGACTTCATAGATTCTCTGCTTCAGAGGGCATGCATCGTTCTGGATAAGGCAAATGGTGTTCTCATTGAAAACCCGATCGAAAACCAAACACTGAGTATGGCGATGGGCCTGGTGGCAACTCTGCTTTCTGAACCCCAGGTACTCCCTTCTGAGACACATATACTGTAGTCACTCAAATGAAAAACAATCTTGTCAAACATATGATTCTTGAATACACTGTGGTTGTAGAGTCATCATTATTTGGGTCATGACTTTTACAATTGTACCACGATGGATCTGAACAGTCAAAATGACATTGACCCGCAGCAACTATTAGAATGTTTGCATCTGACATACAATATCTGTATCGATAATAAGAAATGATGACATATTGCATGTTAGTGATCTTTTTCCCCTCTGCTTTAATTTTATCCCTCACGCTCACCAGATACAATCGACTGCTTCCCTTAATGAGGCAGCTCTTGATCATTCCAGTCATGAAATAGCATATCAAGAAATGTTTCACTTGTACTTCAATGTTATCCACAGCTTTCCCCTGACGTCTACTCTTCTATGTCAAGACTGCTCCGGCCGCTAGCGACTCTTTCTCAGCAACATCCAGAGGTGTTCATCCAGGAGCTGGCCTCAAATTTAAGAGCAGTCATTGCTACCCATGGTGCCTACCACCTCACTTCCAGCGCTTTCTCAGGCTCCAAAGACAGCAACCTACCACCCAAGAGCGACACTCTGCCTTCAAAGAAAAGAAGCGAGATTGAAACAAAGACACCACAGACTTGTCCCCCGTCACCTCTATCCGTCACGAACAAGCTTAAACAATCCCATATCAAAGAGCCAACGTCCTCTGAGGACTCTGTGGCAGGTGAAACGTCACATTCCTCTCAGGCCTTTTCTGATTGGCTGCTTGAGGCGTGTCACCCCGATGTTCCAACCAGAGCATTTGCCCTGAGGAAATTGACCCAAATGGTGCAATCCAGAGACCAAGAAATTGTACAAGCCCAGGAGAAAGTCCTGATTGTAAGTTGTGTGTTGTTGATTTTTTTCCCCCCATTTAGTCAGTGCGATGGACGCACGTCCATTTTTAAGAAGAGGTGCAGGTGCGGTAACATGTGTGTTGGGTGCTGCGGGTTTCAACAGCCTCTTCTGGTGCAATTGTATGTCTGTGTGTTTAATGAATGTACACTTGAGCTCGCTCCTCTAGGGGCAACATCGGTGATACCGAGGGACTTGTTAGTTGCCTTACGCATGTAAGGAATAACAACTACTTCAATATTCTCTTTTATCGACGTGCCCTCACTCTCACATTGGACAGCCATTAACCATCTGTCTGGACAGCCCAACCTCCCAATATTGATTTTTATTGTGTTTGTGTCATTTTATGAATGTTTTTCCATATCGTAACGCAAGGTTATCTTTATTCCTGGGGGTGAGTTTTAAATTATTCCCTTTGTAGTCTTGGTGTTCTTTCCCAGTTTGGGTCCTCTTTGATTTGTATGTCTGTCTTGCTTAAAATACGACTGTGTACATCATCTTCCAGTGTTCAGTATGTGGCGATTAATAAAGCATTCCATTTGTTTTCCCTAGCTCTTTCTTGAAAACCTGGATCATGAGGACTCCTTCGTCTACCTGTCAGCCATTCAAGGTAATGTCATTTTTGTTTGTTTGTGAATAACATATAGCGTTATAATTGTGGGAGAACTCTTTGAGTGTCTTTAATTCCTGATGCAAAGACATCATGTTTACTATCTTTAGGACTTGCTTCATTGGCTGATTTCTATCCTGAGAGAATTCTGGAAAGGCTCCTAAAAGATTTTCAACAAGGTTCCTCACTCTCAACATCCAACAAGGACCACTCTTTGGAATTTCGACTTAAAATGGGAGAAGTCCTAATGAGGGCAAGCAGGGCTATGGGTGGGTATCATCACCTCATTATCCATTTTGTGTATCGCTGCTTCACAGTTGCTGATATATTGTCATCACTTTCTCAATATGTTCCTAAGGGACTTCTGAAATTCAGTCTCAAATGGACAAACATAGTTGTCAAATAATATTTGAAACAAAGATGTGCAACATAGTTGCGTTGGCAATACACCTTCATCCATAACCTTAATCCATAAAGCTACCTGAACATGAAGGATCAACAAGAGCGCCTGCAATTCAACGCTGATAGAAAGCTGATGCATGAAATGCGCAAGATGATTTCAGAATATATAAACAGCCTCTAAGTGTTGAAGAACACATTGTGTTGACGGCACCATTAAATGTTACTTTTGCTAGTTTGGGGAATCTCACTGCATTCACTCTCCATTTATTTTCATCCTCCACCAAAATGTGCTCTCTTCCCGTTTCCTACTTTTTCAAACCATTTAGGATCCCATTCATGCAGTAAACCACTTTCAGGCCTGAGTTTATTGTGCCCTATGCAGGTTGTTGGCAAGTACTGTAGTTGCAGGAATTATGCTGTTGATGCTTCACTATGTTCCCACCATAATGCAGTGTGAATTTGAACATTGGCGAACAATGCGATTTCATCACTGAGCTTGTGGAGGTTTTCTCTGGGTACTCCAGAACATGCATGTTAGGTTAATTGGCTGTGAATGTGAACGTTAATGGTTGTGTATACTCTACGTGGCCTGTAATTGGCTGGCGAGTGGCGAGCAATCTCTAGTGCAGGGGTGTCAAACTCATTTATGGCGCGGGCCACATTTTAGTTACCGTTTCACTTGGAGGGCCGTTATGACTGAAACCATATAAAGAAGTAAAGAATAAGTGTTGATTCAACTATTAAGTTACTATCATGAAGGGGTTGGTAACAAGAAAATGGTGAGAATATATCTGTTATTTATTACATGTGAGAATTTAAAATTTTGTTCGACATTTTAGAAAAGATCGTGGAAGTTGACATGTTTGAGCTGCTTTCGTGGGCCACATAAAATGATGTGACGGGCCAAATCTGGCCCCCGGGCCTTGAGTTTGTCACCTGTGCACTAGTGTAACACACATTTCCTCTGTAAAGTCAGCGGAAATACTGTAAAGGCGCCTGCTCAACTGTGAGCCTCATGAGGCTGCGTGGATTATTAATTATGCTTAATGAAACATCCAAATTCCTGGTAAAATGACATTTTCTGGATCCATTTTTTTCCCTGTGCAGAATCATGTAATGTTTCCAATAAATGTTGGTGCAGAGGCATATTTTATTCATTTTACGCGTAGAAGACATTCGCCACAAAACCCATGACTAAAATCTCTTTTGAACTCCCCTTCCTTTTGTTGGTTTTATCTGCCAGAATCCCATTGCTGTTTCCCTGAGAGAGATTTTTTTATTTTTTCCCTTAAGGTTGGCTGGAAGTTTCAGTGTGTCCTTTACAAACATGACTCATACTAGATGTGGACTTGGATAACAACTCATCAGTGAGCTGTTTATCTTTCCCAATGGAGTCAATGGAATTGTAATTTACAGAATGCACTCAACAGATCTCAGCACCATAAGCCAATCGGCAGCTCTCCCTTTTGAGTCGCCATTGCTCTCACTTTTTGCAAGACTGTCAGTGCATCAACAATCACAGCTTGTTAAAGGGGGTGAGAGTTATAGCTAGTGCACGTAATACAGCCTGAAATCATTCTTTGGTCGATAGAGAGCGGTGTTTCTTCACCAGGGTGGTGACAGTAAAGGTTGTTTTTTATTTTTTTAAGGCTTTTTTGGCTGTGAAGTTATTTGATGTTGGCCGTCTCTCGCCAGTGGTCTTGGCTTTCTGTTTGCTTTGGCAGTTTATGGGGGTAAGATCTTGGCTAGTATCTCAAAATAACAATGTAAGAATTATTTGGTGATCCACTGGTTGGGAATGGGAATAAGGATTTATCGTACTTCTCCACCATGCATCGTTGTGCAACCTAGAGGAAAATGTTAAAAGTACAAATAATTGGGACAAATAATTGAATTTTTTTTTTTTTTTTGCTGCATCTTGATGCAGACGTAAGTAACAATAATTGGAATAATATCATCGCGTCTAAAGCAAAATCAGTTGTTTTTTTTTTTTTTATGCAATACAAGTTTATGATATTGTCATATTGACTTGATAGCAAGTACCCGGTACATTAGGGGATGAACAACTTTATATTTATTGTAGTCGACGTTAAGGTAATGATAGTTGAGTCAACTTCGAATAATCTCTAATGTCATGGATTTTTTTTTTCAGTGGTCACCTCAAAACAAAAGCTCGCTCGCTCACTCTCCCCATCGTCCTCAGTCATCGAATCACCTTCAGACTCTCACTCTCAACTTTCATTGCCTCGCAGACAGCTGGAAATTGTAAAACTACAAAAGTATTGTCAGATCCCGATTACCTAAAGGACTCTTGGGAAAGTTCTGGCCAACTTTCTGTTTAAAGGGTTAAAACTCCCATCGTCCCTCGCCTACCCTAACGCAGTCACCGGAGGGAACGGGAATTTTCCTAAGCCGGCGTTAGATAGACTTGTCTGAGTTTCTCACTACCTCGGTTTTAAGAAGTCAGTCCTGTTTTAAGCCCTCTCCACCATTATTGAGTACTCTTAATACAAATAATACACCTCAGCTAACAGCAGTTGTGGTAAGCAACATGTTCAATTGAACCACCTTCTCATCTTCTTCCCTTGTTCTCCTGCAGGGGAGTTGGCGCCAAACCTCGGTCGTCCCCTAATTTCGGTGTTCCTGAGAGGAACCAGAGACTCTGACCAAAGCGTCCGTGCCAGCAGTCTCTCTAACCTGGGAGAACTGTGCCAGAGACTGGACTATGCACTCGGTCCGCTGGCTCAAGAGGTAAAGTTGAAACAAATGGCAGTACTGTACCTTTATGAAAACAGATGGAAATCATTAAACATGATTGCAAATGCTTCTATGGTGACAGGATGCATACTTCTGATATTCCTGTTTCCATCATGAAACAGTTTTGACACCGGAGAACGATTGTTGCAAATGTTCATCGTCTCACTTGTGTGTTGTTCAGCTGAGCTCCTGTCTCACTGCTCTGATAAGGACAGAGAAGGAGGCAGAGGTGAGGAGAGCTGCCGTCCATGTTATCACCTTGCTGCTCCGGGGCCTCAGTGACAAAACCACCCAGGTACAAACATACACAGCCATTTACGTAATGCATACAATGTTGCATTCCCCCAAATAAAATATTCCTCAAACTTGCAACTTTCAATTTACAGTGGATTATTATGGGACTGCAAAGCAAGCGTAGTGGTACTGCATTTGAAACAAGCAACTCGGGCTGTCACAAACAAATCTTTTTGGAATTGATTATCCTATCGACTATGAATTGTGATTGCTTGGGGAATCTTCCCACCCTGTGTCATATACGCACATCCGTGTGCGTCGGCACGCTTCTTTTTTGTTTCAGCTGCTGCTTCTTTGTACTCGGCAGACTATCATTCAGTGTCTCGGTTGCGCTCAAAACACTCCAAATTTCCTCGTACGTGCTTGAAATTGTAGCACGCATCTAACGGCATAATGTAGCCTCCGTCTACAGCATTTATAGGAGGCATCTTCATATTGATATTGATCTATCACGATATATATTGCTATTGAATTATTGACCAATTGTACAAAAAATGTTCCATTGTCCTCCATAATTATTGGCACCCCCTGGTTAAGATGGTTTCATAGCCTGAAAATCAATTCAATTTTTATTGCAGAAGCATACTCTCATAATGAAAATTGTAGACATGATTCACCAGAGACAAAATCAAGCTCCTCCCATGGCCATCTCAGTCAAGTCACAAAAGGCTCCATTGACTGTATTGTCACTTTTCAAAATAATTTGGGAAACACCATACCAACACATTCTCTAAACCAGTGTTTTTCAAACCCTGTGCAGCGGTCTGCAAAACATGCAGCAAAGCTTAAACTGTAAGCAAATTTTCCGATGGAAAAATATGGATGGACTAAATGGAAGCTGGACTACCTCAAGCGAGACATTCAGCAGAAAAGTCATTTGAATGATGTTGGAATTATATAAAGACTCAAAATGGGAAAAGGGATTGGTACAATATTGCGGGAGAGCGCAAACGACCGGGAGAAAAAGAACCGGCTGTCACATAGAAACAAATCCGACCCTGAGCAAGTTAAAGTTTTGATTGACTATATTTTACTTGCCATTAAAACGAATGCACCAAATATTGCATTGATGTTGATTTGATTCCTATTCAATGTGTGATAATATTGCGTTAATTTTCAATGTTAAAAAAATATATAGATATTATAGTAACAATATAACACTCGACTGTTAAAATAAGCTTTTTTCACATTTTCGGGTAGTGGTGTGCCGCGGGATTTTTTCAATGAAAGAAATGTGCCTTGGCTCGAAAAAGATTGAAAAACACTGCTCTAAACACTTTGTTATCACAAGTGCTTTGTGGAATTCATTTAATCGTGAGAGCAATTTGTTCAAGGTGTGCGCCGTGTCCTTGAGCTCACTTTACAACTGTTTTGACTTGATCCACACAGGTGCAGTTACCTATGGAAACAACAGACATAGTTATGTAAATAATCAAATTTCCTGCATCCGTGTTATTATGTTTGACAGACACACCAAAATATTAAAATCACACACCGTACTTGCGCATATTTGGAGGTCGTTATGTAGCGACTTGGATGTTATAGGGAGGATTTTCCCGCTGGTTGGACTATTGCTGTTAGCACTCTGAAATCACTGCACCAGCCACTCTTTTATTAGATGCACCTTCTCACATCAATGCGAGCGACGGTGCCCTCGAACTGAACATTTTTGACTTTGATGCCGTGTGACGGTGTGGCGAGCACCCAACTTGCAATGCAACGCGACACAGCGTTCAATTCTCAAACCCTCATAGAACATCGACGTTATCATAGTTAATGAAAACAAAGTAACAAACTAAAAAAAAAAAATGTTCGAGAGTGCATTAAAAAAAATTACTCAAACTACATTTTACGTTTCTAAAACTAAAATAAATATGTCTGTTGCATCTTTGTCAATACATTTCCTGGAGGAACTTTCAGGGTTTATTTTAAAAGTATTTATTTTGGTGATACATTTCAGTGATACATTCACACCTATGGTCAATTGAGTCTTCTTTACTGGAGTTGTCAGTCAACCAATCATTTACATTTTGCACAGGAAATGTGGGAGGAGGCCAGAGTATTTAGAGAAAACGCAGGCATGCTCAGAGAGAACATGAAAACTGCACCCAGAACCTCATAATTGTGAGCCAGTCGTGCAAACTATTCCTCTAGGCTGCCCTCAATGACTTAAGCAGTATTATTGATTCTTTTATTATTCAATCGCTGCTAGGTACTCATTAAAACCTTGACCTCCCCCGCTACCAAAACAGAAATGTGATGAGCGGTTCAGGTGTGGCTGTGGTTCTGATCTTAGACCAGGCTCTGTCATTAGTGAACAGCAGCTGCGGTGCACCAGCTGTACGGGGTTTAATGATACCCGGTGACATGAGAACAGAAACACATCACAAAGGTTAGGCCAGGTGGTGACGCTCGTGTGGAGGGTGAAGGGTCATGTCAGGATTATCTCATTGTCCGAAAAGGATTGGAGCTGGCTTCAAAGTCACTTCACCAATGTAACTTCCATCACTTCTCTCCGTGTCCATCAGGTCCTCAGTGACGTTTTGTTGGACCTGTACCGAGCTCTAAAGTGGGTGCTTCGATCTGACTCGGATGAGGTCGCCGTGCTTCACGCCCAGCTGGCTCTGGAGGAGCTCGATGACGTGATGCGAAGCCTCATCTTCCCCAAACCAAAGTTGGAGAAGAAGATAGTTGTCCTCCCCTAAAAGTTAGATTTTTTTTACAGTATTACTTTTTTCTTTACTTCTAGCACGATGTTTCACTCCATGTGACATAGTCTTGGCCGCAACCCTACAGAATCACAGTGCATCACATTGCATTTTTTTAATAAGGACGAGTGGATCGACAATGTCAGTATATTCAGTTGTGGTCTAACATATAGATCCTGTAAAGTTTTACTAATCATGTCTCAGCCTGAAGAAGGAGTCCATAGGTTTTGTTACCATGTATGACTTAATTATCCTTTTAGGAATTATGTGTTATTTGAAATGAGGGGTTGAAAAATTGCTGCAAACTTCGAATTTTCCATATTCCATATTACAGTGAAACTCCTCTACAACGAAACCTACATGGGCGAAAATACCCTCTAGTGTGAAAAAAATCATGCATTAGCACCATTCCTGCCCCCCCCCCCCCCTTTCCCCCCCCCCCCCTTTACAACGAAAAAAACTCCTGTTGCGTTATACGAAATCTTTTTCTCTGCTCTTGCCTCTGACGAGATTCACTACAACGAAGTCTAATCCAACAGCGACCTCTACTGCTTCGTTCGGAAACGGCAACAGCAACCACCACACTGATTTACACATGCGCAGTCTTGGAAGTACAGTATTTGTTATTGTTAGTTTCAGACGCAGCAAGAACGTTGCATTGCTAAAATGGCTACAGAACAGACCTTTGGATGTCAAGCAGCTAAGACAAGAAGAGCTCTGACGCTGGAAGAGAGGGTAAAAGTGATCAAAATGAAAGACTTTCTACACTGACTATATGAAGTGTCAAATAAGTGTATGCTCATACTTATGCACTATTGGAATAAAAATAAAGCGGACACATACGTTTGTGTGTGTGTGTGTGTGTGTGTGTACACATACGCTTGTGTGTGTGTGTGTGTGTGTTTACATCTGAGATCAAATTTGCTACAGTGAAAAACCCCCAGTTGTGAAAAATTTCTTGCTGCAAACATGATTTCGTTGTAAAGGAGTTTCACTCTAATGGCTTTCACGGGAATGAATGAGATATTTATAACATTTCAGGTTAGTCAACATAAACGTTGGGGGAAACCGTGTTGTAGCAGAAATCTTGGCTGCGAGAGTTTAACACTCTCCAAAATCATTTACCGGTAAGCTATAATATAAAAAAAAAAAAAACAATATTAGTGCTCACTTGAGAAGTGGGTGGGCTCAAGCAAAATGTGCTCTGTCCCTAGTTGTCCAACACATTTAGATGCAAATGCCATGAAATAAAAGTTGGACTTCTGAACTTGTCTCGGGTTCTTCTTTTGATCTGAAACTCAAATGTCTTCAGTATACTGTATCCAATACTTTGAGGCGACTTTATATAGGAAACGACTTTGCTGTTCCAATTCTTTTGGACGTGACTTTATACATACTGTTTTAGATTACCTGATTGTGCTCATGTGTGACAAATTAAAATATTCATTATGTTAATGTGTTACTCATTTTAAAAACTAAAAATAAATCAGCAAAAGTTCCGTGAGTTATCCTTATTTAACATGGAAAATGCCAATCTGGATTGAATACATTTCCATGGAACGCTTCTAGATACGTACCAGAAATGGCCCACCCCACTTGACATGAAGGAGTAAGAGAGAGAATTGATCTGCTTATCCCGCTTTGAGTGGTGTCAACCACGCGTGTGCGTGGAATAACTCAATTCCCTTTATGCACATTTGAAATGAATTAACATCAGTACCATATGCTAGCCTGTGAAAAACATGTACTGTATCATGTTTGTCATTTTTAAAAAACGTTTACGTTCGTGGAGCATTCCACATTTCGAACATCCAATTAACGTAAACCTTTTAAAAAAAAATGACCAAGATGGACATACGTGTTCATCACAGGACAGCGCAGATATTTTAATTGGCCATTTTTGTTCTCCAACAGGATCAGAGTAAGGGAATTTGTCTGAAAATGCAGTGTAAGTAATCTGGTAGAAATGTCCTTTGGAGTATTGTCATACAAAGCTGTACATTTATACTGAATTGGAAGGTGGGGGTGGTGGCTCTAAATAAACACGCCCAAATGGCTTTTAGGGTTTGAACAGGGACCGACTCATGAGGCATTCCATCTTTTGTCCTTCATCCCTCTCATCCATCCACCTCGGTGTACGAAGCCTCCCCTCTCCCCGCTCAGAGGGCAAACATGGCAGACTTCAGCCTGGTTTCCATGGAGACATACGGAATCGAGGTATTGCAGTGGCATGAGGCACTTTACAAATGCAGCCTCACTGAACCAGCATCTTAATCAAAGCTGTGTTTATTCTGGGGTCGTATATATTGTTCTGTGGGGACTTCAAAGTGGAATGAGTCACTTGGTTTGGTGCTTTCCAGACCCAAATCTCTGAATATATGATGTTGACAAAAGTATGGAGACACCTCATCACTTTAAATTAATTGTCAGAAATTTTCGAGCATTTTGACTTTTTGAAGACCCGTAGGATATTGTGACCCATATGATTATATACACACCAATTAAACCATCGTAGAAAGGGTTCTGTCAGTCGTCATCTGCACCTGTGGGTAAAAAACAAAAAAACAAAAAAGGACGTTTCGCTTCTCTCACAGAAGCTTCGTCAGCGGTAGACAACCCTGAAGTCTCCGTGAAGACTCCGGGAAATTGCTCTGCGCTAAAAAGCTGAGCGTGGCCTATTTGAGGACTGGGTGGGGATGGTTAGTCACGCCCCTATGGTGAAGAGGCCCATTGATTTCTAAATTCCCTATCGTTGGGTCTTGATTAGGCCTATTGTTTGGGCTAGGGCTGAATAGCTACTTTCAGTTAGCCTGATCAGCATGTCTATGTCTCTTGGTGGTCAACAAGTTATTGTAAATAGGAGACAGATTAAATCTGATACCTCCTTCACGGTTCAGAGAGGGTGAAAATTTTTTAACAAAAATCGCTTAAAAAATTTTCACTTTGAACTTTCAAATGGAACTTTCCTGTACGACTGAGAGCCTCCACAAGCAATTCAACCATATAAAATAATAGTCTCTCCTTTCACCAGGAACAAATGAAGACAGATTTTGCCTTTTTTTAATTCTTATATAATCAGCAATAGAGGTGGGTTTCACAAAATGCAGCCTGCTAACGAGGTTGATTTCATATTTAAAGTTGTGCATCGCTGCCATCTACTGGTGGTTGTGCATCACTAATGTAGTTTCTGTCAAAATGTGTGTAATCACTTGTAAATATTCGCAACGAGCTGATGACTATCGGGGACTGTATCAATTTCAAGCGGGGGTATCAAACCTTTTTCCTTTGTGGACTCTGTCCAGAAAACGGAAGGTTGCAAGGGTCATTAAAAAATTATTCTAACTTTCATCAGCCAATGAGTAAAGTAATTCTGTTTTGTTTTAGATTAATTATTTGTAAATCCTGCTACATTACGGATTTCTGTCAAAGGTATAAAATAAAGAGTTTAGGATAATTTTTTTTAGGGATTTTGTCACTTTATTCCATTAGAAGAGTGCTGCCCCTGTACTGAGCAACAGTTGAATCACTATTATTAAATTTAGAAGCAAAACATGAGCATTTTATATCGCAAGTAATGCTGTCTAAAACGGCATCTGGGCCGTAGTTTGGACACCCCTGATTTAACACTGATGACCGATATTTTTTTCAATGAGATTTATTATTACAAATGAAAAATATAGTGAATAACTTGACATTACCTCGTTAGGAACTCTGCCCATGCCATCTTTACACAGGCCCCCAGATCATCTTCACTTTTTGCTTATTATTGATATTGAGCAAGATGATTGACAGCATTTAATACACCGTTGTCAAACTCAAGCCCCGAGGGCCAGAACCAGCCTACGGCATCATTTTATGTGGCATCGGCAAATCATGTCTCAACTTCTTGTTTGTTGCAAATAGTCTTCATTTTTTGATATGAGATGTTGCTTTTTTTTTTTTTGTTACCAATTCCCCCTTTAAAATAAATTGAGAAATAGTTGAACAAACAACTTACTGGCTTCTAATTTTAAAACGAGTTACCCATCAATTTGTTGTGTATATGTGATAAGGCAACCGTTTTTATGCGGGTTCACAGTCATAATGCCCTTCGGGGGAAACCAGAACTACAATGTGGCCTGCAACAAAAATGAGTTTACCACCCCGGAGTTAAAAGCGTACCGGCTTAAGTATCACTCTACCCTTGAAAAATCAACACACACCTTCACTGCAAAAACAAAAAATTTTTACATCTTGAGGACTTGTGTAATAGAAAATGGCTGGGTATATCCCTAAATAGTATTTTATCACTTTTTGTGTCATAATTACAGATAAAAGATTTCTCAAAAATGTCACCTTAATTCAATTGTTGACAAGTCTATGAATCATTTTGATCTTAGCTGAATGACTTTTAGCAGGAGGAATCAACGATCCAGTTTCCTACACAAGTGCCTATTTTTTTACTTACTCCGGTTTATTGTTTTGACTCATTTAATTACCTGGTAATTGTCCCAAAGATAATCAAACTCATTTGTTATATTTTGGGATGAGACTCTCACATCACGTGTTCCCTAATCATCAAGCTCAAGGTCACTCATGTAGAGAAGCACGACAGGGATGGTATGAATATCAAGAAGTTACAATAAGATGAACCCTTTCTGCCTCATCTCCTTATTGGATAAATGTATACTCTTTTTTCCCGCACTTTAATGAAGTATTTGTAAGTGGCAGCCTCCTATTGATCCCACTGAGGAATTCAGGCAGTCTGTTTCATGGAACCGGCAGCTAAGCCTCAGAGCAGGGGAGTGAAGGAGGGAGGGAAGAATAAATAAGCCCATAAAAGATGCTTTGAGTCAGGCCGAGGGAAGGCGAGGGGTGGCTCCACGCATCCAAACCGTGGCTTGTCGGATTCCGCTGGCTGCATTGCAGTGAGAAAGGCAAGGCAAGGCTTCAGTGTGGAGGTACTGGTGGGAGCGTGGAAGGGAGAGGGAGGGTGGGAGAGAGAGGCAAGGACAGGACGGTGGCGGCGGGAGATAAGAGCCCGGTGGGAGAGGGATGGAAAACCATCTGCGCGCCGGAGGTTTGAAGTGCAGCTGATACTGCGGCACGTGACAGCGGGACAGCTGCGGATGAACCATGGGCAACCTTCAACCTTTTTGACCTCCCACTGGGCCAGCCAGGATGGAGAACTAGGAGAAGAACTGGAGTGATCGTATCCAGTCTTCAAGGGCTTCATCAGAGAGCGTCCTGGGAGACAGAACGGGGGGAGGGTGGTGGAGGAGGAGGAGGTGGTTTGTGGGGGGGGGGCTGTCTCACAGAAGTGGTCTCGCAGTGGTTTAAGGTGGCGGCTGTATTTTTGGGATCCTGCGAATGAAGCGAGCACACTGGAATAAAGATGTAGTGTGAACTGGTGGAGGGAGGGGGACGGAACAAGGAGAGTGCTGTGCTAAGGGAAGGAGAGAACGTCCCAGCTGAACGCACGGACTGGGAGGACAGATCTTTGGGGGGGGAGGCAAAGACGGAGGGCCCACTGGATCAGAAAGGTAAGCAAGTCATTCAATTTCCTACGACGAGGAGACAGCAGTGTGTCCTTATAATGTAAATTGATGCCCACTGGGAGAGGAGAAAAGATACCACCCCCCCCTTTTTTTTTTTTAGTTTAGTATTCTAACTGCGCTTAAAGCAATAATTAGGTGAATTCAATTGTGAGGGTTCGTTGTAAAGGAGGATGAATGAGAGTATTCATCCATGTGCAAACATGTTCTGAGGGAGCGACCCTGAATGGAAAAGTTTTTAAAAGCTCAAGGAAGCGACATTAAAGTTGAGTTAGAAGACAAAGAGCTGAGTGTGTTCATGTTTGAGTGGCCGATGTGAGGTAGAGAAATTATGGTTTTTTTCGGTGTGTGTGTGTGTGTGTACACATGTGAGTGAATGTGCTTATTAAGGTGCAACTCACTTTTCTATACATTCAACCCCTGCCATTTGTGGGAGATCGTGACCGAGCTTGCTCGCAAATGGTGAAAATCCGCGGGTAATTGACGACCATTAAAATGCATTGGGGAGTCGCAGGGGAATCCTACTTCTACAACAAACACGGATCTGATATGCATATTGGAATAATGTTCAGTTGTGCTTGACACTGTCAGACATTCATCTTTATTTTGTGAACTATTGCAGTTGTAGTTTGCAGAAGTGTCGGACTCCCACGGCATCATAATGAACGGTGTAATATTTCTCCGGCGGACACCACAGTATTGGGTCACCCTCCTTGTATGGTGCAGTGCAATTCTACAGTGTGGCTTCTGCTGCCGCTGTTAAATGTGTGCCGAGAGGACTTAACAGGAGCGGCACAATTCCAGTCGGCATTGCTCCAGTGTAAGAATGAGCCAGATGACTCTTAACTCCAGCATAGTTATTTGTTGTCATTTAGTGCGTTAGAATGAAATACATGTTTAGAGATATTTTTTATCATTTGAAAACAAGTACTGTATATACATCTTGGAGTAATTTTTCCACTGAAAATATGAGTTACTGTTCATGCATTTAGCAGTGCACACAATTTACATATCATATCATTGCAATTTGGAGATATAATGTAAATATTGGCCATTAATGGAAATGACATAAAAGGACACTGAAACATACGTATACACACACATACACAAAAATTTCTCGGACACCCTGGAAATTAAAACAATAATTTGAAGGTCAAACTGACGCTGTAAAAAAAAAAAAAAAAAAAGTTTCATAACTGCACAACTTTGGTAAGTAACCTTTGACATCTTTAACCATCATAACTTATGACTTAAATTGTTTTTAGACTTATGAACCATAAGTCTAAAAACAATTTAAGCACTGTTAATTTTAATGTATAAAACATTTTAAAAAGGAAGAGGAGGAAGGCAGGCTATATCAGCGGTATTTTTTTGAAGATTTTTTTTTGGAGGGGGGGCGTATACAAACACTAAATAAATTCCCCAATGCATTTCAGTGAGCGTGAAATCTACCTGGATTTTCTCTATTCGTGGGCTGACCCTGTGAAAAGCAGGGGTCCACTCTATAGTTATAAGTTGGAATATGACTACACACCCCGAGACGGCAGATGTGTGTTCGGTGCACTCGCCCTGGATCTTACATTGCCCTATACTACAATGTGAGTAGGCCTGATTATCTTTTCTGCAGAATCTGGAATGACATCCATGGCACACATGGAGTACCTAAATAATATTAACAGTTTGAGTTGATTTTTGTGAAACAAATGCACATGAGTTATGAAAAATGAAATATCTTGATATACTGTGATATACTGTACATTGGTTCAATAAAAAGGGGACATACGCATGTGTTTTGTCCATATTTAAAGTGACCTGAAGGAATTTTGTCGTACATCTGGTTAGGACAGATGCGATTCGATGTGGTCCCCCAGTAGCGCTAATGAAAAATGGTAGCCCCTTCCAGCATTGAAGTTGTCCATTCCTGGTCTCCACAATGGTTAGCCATCATTCACACATTCAGTTCCCATCTGGGTGATTTACTGTTAACGTTAATTTAAACAGTCATAATCTGACTCATAGCAAAAAATTGGGATTTCGTGAGGCTGCAGTTTACTTCACCTAAAGACCCAGAACATGAAGTTTCCTCCATCTTACCGTCACTATGCCAGGCCTGCCTTCTCATTCCCATGCAGCCATATTTCCAACAAACTACAATGATATTCAAGACCAAATGCCCAAGATGGTCGCATTTCATTTGGGCTGTTCATGAGCACCATTTTGGGTTCATTTCTGTTATTTTGTAACAGTCATCGTTTTCTCCACTAGCTACATCAGATTATTTTACCCTTTAAATAGTGCTCACCGTATTATGAATATACTGTAATAAGATAAACAAGCACAGACATATTGGGATTTGTGGGTTAATGCAAATCTAACGTCTCTCAACAAGCTGTACATGTGTACATGGGCCGCCCAGACCTGAACGTACTGATATAAATATCAGGCTGTGTCTCAAGGTTTTGATGGGGGCTGGTTGGGAGGAAATGTTCGAAGGATGTGGATGAAAGGAGAGGATTGTACCTCCAGGTACACTGGTCCTGAGCACCAGCCACACCCAGACTGACCTTTAATCAATTCTGAAACCCCTCCAGTCAACAAAGACTCCAGGATATCCTCGTGAGAATGTCACATGAAAGAAAAAAAAGAGTTAAACTCTATATTGCCTTTCTTTTTCCCCAGAAGTAGACTATGTGTAAATTGCCATTTTGAAAGCATTTTGCATAGCATTACGATTTGCGCAAGATCCTGCTATATTCTCATGAGGAAAGGTTTAGGAGGGTATGCTGGATGCTTGACTAAGAGGAGGTCTGGGAAGGGGCAGGATGGAGGGAGATGAAAGACACAACACTGATAGTGTGGATTCAGGAAGCGCTTGACTCGATGGGACCAATTTATACACATCCAAAATGGTCACTGCTCAAAAAAAGCAAACTGGCATCTCTCCGACAAATAGTTCCAATTCTTTCAAACCCGCAACCCTTTATTCCCCATGCTGAATCTTCACCGAGTGAGCAATTGATATATATACTGAACATTTATTTTTGAAATGTACTGAGCTCCGGCACTGCTCTCAGTTTAATGGTGGTGATAAAATATAGCGGCAGTCTGAATAGGAAATCAAACAAAATGACTGCAATTTTATGTTGGAATTATGTCCGGTTATCAGATTGGTGGTAATATTTCTTTTTATTTGTTGTAGTAATGTGTTGTTGTTGTACACTAATCCTACAACTATTACACAAATAGTAACAGTATTCATGTAACCAAGTGGAATATCCAATGTGGGAAATATTACTAATATAAAAGAATATTACCGGTAGTTTCTCTTCATTCTACGCGTAGAACCCATTCTCCAGGGCGCTCTACTCATACGAGTAGACTGAGTAGTACGATAAGAGCAATGGAAATCGACCTTGATGAGTTTATTTGTATTTTCCTGTGACATGTCTTTTACACTGTGTGTTCATGATGTCAGGGACTAATGTTGATGTGTTTTCATCTGATGAAGGAAAAAAACACAACATGGCACTTGGGTCAACTATTAACACTTTTCAAGCGTTCCAAAAGACTCGCATATGCACCGGTGATGTCAAAGGACTGACTGTGGAAGGAAAAGGGGAAGAACATTTCGATTCAGTTCCCAGAACTTTCCAAAAGCATTCCATGAGAAGTCAAGCTAAACGTTCGGGAATAATAAAGTACTCAACTGAAAAAGTGTGAATTAACACTGAATCATGTTTTTCAGTATGAGACATTTAAGTTCCCTTTCTATACACAGCTGGTCAGTTCCCACTTATTCCTAGCCACTTGGTTTCCAATTTGGAAATCTTGGAATGTTGCAACACCGGATGAATGCTCCACTGAAAGCAGCCCCCCCACCCCCATTCATCGTTATTTCTTCCCATCTTCTCGTGCGCCGCATTTACTTTCTTATCCTAACTTTGGCCTTTTTGCGTGATGCCCAGATGACCTCCCGCTGCAGGAATGCGGTGAACATCGTGGTCACCACCCTTTTTGCAGCGGTGGTCCTCTTCACCATCCTGCTGGCCTATATCACAGGTTAGCTTGTCGATCGTCGTCTTTGATTTTCGATGAGATATCTGACTTCACTTTGCTCTTGCGCTATACAGGTTACCAGTTCATTCAAACTGAGCAGCACCACCTCTCCTTTGGCCTCTATGGTGCCTTCCTCTCTCTCCACCTTCTCCTCCAGAGCCTTTTTGCCTTTCTGGAGCATCGGCGCATGAAGATCCCCACCCATCCTCAACATCTCCGCCGCTCTGTTGCCCTCTGCATCGCTGCCTACCAGGAGGACCCGGACTACTTAAGGAAGTGTCTGCGCAGTATCAGGCGGATTTCTTTCCCAGGACTAAAAGTAGTGCTGGTAGTGGATGGGAACCGACCAGAGGACCGTTACATGATGGACATTTTCCAGGAGGTGATGGGTGGGGCTGAGCAGGCGGGCAGCATGGTGTGGAAGGGAAACTACCACAGCGATGGGAGCGGCGGAGGGCCTGTCGGAGGTGGGGGGAGCACAGTTCACGTGGAGGAGACGTTACGAGTCACTCGGCTGGTCAGAGGTTGTCGCTTTTCCTGTATCATGCAGGAGTGGGGAGGGAAGAGGGAGGTGATGTACACGGCCTTTAAAGCATTGGGGGACACTGTGGATTATGTGCAGGTAAGAACCGCACGCTAATAAAAGTCTTGATAATATGAGACTGGATTTCAAAGACGGGCATAATTATCAATTCTTTGGAGGGGGCTACCATGTCATATTGTATCATGTACAATAGTCACTTAAGATACGAATTTAATTCATTCTTTGACCACGTTCGCACCTCAGAAAACTCTCAAATTGTCTCTCCAAATCATCATCATTTTCCCATTGAGATGAATAGAAATGCCATTAATCTGTTCTCAGCCCCCATTAAATAGCAACGTGATTTTGTTATACTTTCCCATCCAATTCAATGCATACCTGTATTTGGATTGCTAATTCCGGTGGGCGTACCTTGGCCACCTAGGAGCATTATAAATAACAGTTCACGCTCAGGCCACTTCACACTTAGCTTCAAGCATGGATTCAGCAGCCAATCATTGCAGAGGATTGTGTCCTTCATAACTCAAATAGGATTCATAGAATCACTCCTCGCAGAGTATAAAGAATACAATATATGACTGTGAGTACTCATATTGTCTGTCTACATGTGTTGCTGCACAATTTGTGTTCCAATATCTGTCGCACAGTCACTTCGTGTAGATGCTAATCATTGCCCATGTTAGCATCGCCTTAAGATGGCGGCTTAGCTGGCGGCCCAACGGCTAAGCTATGTTGTTTTCAATACACAATGTGTAATTCTTTGTTTTAGATTTGGAACCTCAATTTTTGGAAGGTTATTACACAAATTAAGCAAATGTTATACAAATCCTACTGATACAGGACTAATTGTAAATCCACAATGGACCATCCATCCATTTTCTATCCTGTTGTAGTTGAGCAGGAGCCTATCACAGCTGAATTTGAAAGAAAGGTACACCGAGGACTGGTTACAGACAACCAGCTATCAGCACTCCCATCACTCATATCAGCAAGTTAGAGTTTTCAATTCAACTAACAAGTATGCCCCGCAGGATGAGGGCAAAAACCTGGGTAACGTGAGAAAACCCACACAAGCACTGAGAAAATATGTAACCTTCACACAGAAAGCCCTGACCTAAGGTTAGAATACCAGTCCTCAGAACTGTCAGGTAAAAGTGCAAACCACTAGTGCCCATGTGCTTCCTCAAGACTAGACCAGTACAAGGAAATGTAGAAATGGCAGAAGCCTTTGATAGTGTGGCTCACATTGCAAACATCGTAATTATTCCCAGTAAATCAGGGGTCTCAAATTTATGGAGAATATTTTGCAGCCTCCTACTTGAAATGAAAGTTTAATATTAGTGTAACCCCCACCAAGAGAACTTGGCACCTAGTCCCAGTTGTCGTTTTCAAAATCTGCCGTTAGCTGAAAGGTTGGTGATAACAACAGCCAGTTTAAAAACAAAAAACAGAGGGTGTTTTTTTTTTTAAACACAGGCGCACACCGGCACATCTTGAATGCACAAAAATCAGACGTCATGACTCAACTAGAGATGTTGAGGACTTCGCAGTATGCAACATAGCAGGGAGATGAGAACGAGAGAGGTCACCAATCTTGTTCACGTACTGAAGAAACGTGAACTTTCTAAACTGTTATTAGATGTTATAATCTTGAAAATATTGGATTTGTTGTACTTTTTTGGAATACTTGAACCCTTTTTTTTGTGGAATAAGCAGACACACCCAGACTGTTTCTCCAGCAGCCCCCTGCAGTAAATGCTTCTCTGACGAGCACGTTGAGAGCAACTAGCAATCAGTCCAATGTACTCTGCTGGGATAGGCTGCAGCCCTTGACATGGTTCCTATGACACCAACACCGTATTGGCCCGAATATAAGACTGTCACGTTGCGAGGTGGTGGTGGACCCCAAAAAAAGCAGGCAGGACCAGGGTGTACTCGACGAATTGTATTAAAACAGAGAAAACTGAATCCAAAACAAACAAAGTCCAAAGTATCAAACAAAAATCATGACTGAAGATAAAACATATCAATGACCTAAACATGACTGGAACAACCATGACAGCAGCCAACAAACAGCAACAATGACCCGACAATGAGTGCTTGGGCTGGGAGTCCTTTTAAAGCACTAATTACATAATGACCAACAGGTGCGCAGCTGCAGGGAGAGCCCTACAGTGCCACCTGTTGGTCCCAAACCGAAACATGACAAAGACGGTGTTTTTTGCATTGAAATAAGACTGAAAAAGAGAGGGTCAAGAGAAGAAAATAATAGAAGAGATAACAGAAAATGGAGAAACGTAGCGACAATCTGGAGAAAAGCGGGTCGAAGATCGGCCAGGTTACCCGGCAGCTGAGGAGAAGTTATGATGTCATTTACATTTCAAAAACCATAAGCCATTCATTTACGAATGTGATTGCACTTTAGTTTACATATTTAAATGTTCAGATATTAAGATTTGAATGAAGCAAAATAACATGCTTTTTCTCCCAAATATATTGTTATAATCATTTGTTTCAGATGTACTGTCATTATTTTCTGTATAAAAATTAATTTGGTGTTCAAAAAGTCTTTTTTCAAACTTGAGTCTTGAAAAAGAGGGGGTCGTCTTATAATCAGGGCCGTCTTATATTCGGGCCAATACGGTATAACCTGAATCTATACTTTTGTGGAGACACACAGTCACAGCAAAAAAAAAAAAAAAAGATCATTTGGTCATAAATACAAAATCATCATATGAAAAGCAGTAACCAAAAACATTTTCTCCAGAAGAAGATGTGCAATTTTTTGTAACTTTTGCTTTTGTAACTACAGTGCATTCTGTAAGTTGCAACCATTGTATACCAAGGATCCACGTAACAGGCTAAGTGGTAGAGAAAATTGATGGCTGGCATCCCCCGGCTAACAATCTCCAAATCCCAGCTGTTTTACAAGTGCATCCTTTGTTCTCTGGTCAATGGATACAGTCATGACCCATGAAGATTTGGGCAACAGACAATGCGGTACGGTCATTAGGGTATACTTGCTGTGTCTTTTCCAGGTGTGTGACTCTGACACAGTTCTGGACCCAGCATGTACCATTGAGATGTTGAAGATCTTGGAAGCCGATGCGGCAGTAGGAGGAGTTGGGGGAGATGTACAGGTAGAACATCAGTAAGAGTTCATCACAAAAATGTCTCCTGGCAATGGATGAACAGTCCTTTCCTGTTTGTCAGATCCTGAACAAGTACGACTCCTGGATCTCCTTCCTCAGCAGCGTGCGTTACTGGATGGCCTTCAACATTGAGCGTGCCTGCCAGTCCTACTTTGGATGTGTCCAGTGTATCAGCGGCCCTCTGGGGATGTACAGGAATTGCCTTCTCCAGCGCTTCCTGGAAGCCTGGTACCATCAAACCTTCCTGGGCTCCAAGTGCAGCTTCGGCGACGACCGTCACCTCACCAACCGAGTGCTAAGCTTCGGCTACAAGACAAAATATACAGCCCGATCGCAGTGTCAGACTGAAACGCCAACACAGTACCTGCGTTGGCTCAACCAGCAGACTCGCTGGAGTAAGTCGTACTTCCGGGAGTGGCTCTATAACGCTTTGTGGTTTCATAAGCACAGCCTCTGGATGACCTATGAATCTGTGGTCACTGGCTTCTTCCCGTTCTTTTTGGTAGCCACGGTCATCCATCTCTTCTACCGCGGAAGGCTATGGAACATCTTGCTCTTCTTGTTGACCGTCCAGCTGGTTGGGATGTTGAAGGCCACCTATGCCTGTTTCTTGCGCGGTAGCCTGGTCATGATCTTCATGTCGCTCTATTCTCTGCTCTACATGTCCAGCTTACTCCCTGCCAAAATATTTGCCTTACTAACAATCAACAAAGCAGGGTGGGGAACTTCGGGCCGCAGGAAGATTGTGGTAAACCTGATCGGTGCTGTCCCTGTGACAGTGTGGACGATGGTGCTGCTCGGGGGCGTGGTGTATACGATTTACTGTGAAACACGGCAGCCATTGAGTGAGTCCGAAAAGGTTTTGTTAATAGCGGGGACAATACTCTATGCCTGCTATTGGCTCATTCTGCTGGTGCTTTACCTTGCAATTGTAGCCAAACGGTGCAACAAGCGGGAGGATCAGTTTCACCTGCCATATGCAGAGGCATAAAACTGCTTGAAGAAGGCTCGACAGGTCAACAACATGAAGACCAACTGCTGTATCCGCACACCTCTGTGAACTGCCGGAGCAACTGCACGGTCATGTCTGCACTACCGGTGCTAAAAAGGTGGGCATGTGAAATCCAAGCAGCAGGGAGAGGAGATCCAGTCAGGAGAAAACTTGTGAGATGACTGCATCCATGAAGCATGACGCCGTTTGCACGGAAACGAGTGACCCAGTGTTCATACGCTTTATTTGAACATCGCGTAGTCCATGGGTACGGGTTAGCTGTGCAACCACAACAAAGCGGTCCGGAATGGTGCTCGTGATGCGTTTAGTGCAAAGAATGAATCAAATGGAACTAAGTGCAGTAAAGATGGTTGGTCTGATTTAAATGTTTTGACTTCATATAAACGGTACAAACAACTGTAGAACTTAAGAGCCTCAACAAGCAACGAGAAAGTCAAGTTAATTAACAGAAGAACGGCAAAGGAGATCAAAGCTGCATTCTGTCTGATACTTCAAGACCTGAAAGAATATCTACAGGAAACAGGTCTGAATAACGACGCAACTGAAGGAACTGAGATCAAGGAGAGGCTGAAATAAAATTAACAAAAGAGCAACTGATTTGGTCGGTTCGCCAACTGAAGTGACCAAAAGCCTGACTAAAAGCAGCCACTATTTCCATTTGGATTTTATGATTTGAACTTATAACATTTTGAGCAAACCACCACACTAAAAGATCCTGATCATGCTCAGAATAAAGCATTCTAGACCATTTAATCAAATGTCAATTTACTGAATATGCCTGTACTGAAAGGTATCAGGATAAATAAGGTTTTACAATTTTGTAAAATAGTAGTAGTAGTAGCAATAATAATAATAATAATAATTGATTTTTTTAGCATTGACATTCACGGAACAGAAAATGGATGGGTGGATTAATTTGGGATTTTACTGTACATAAAGACTGGGTGTGCCCCCAACTGATTCCAAACAACATATTGCACAAAACCCCTGGGGGGTAGATTCTGTTTTCAACTCTATAAACATCTCTTATTTTGCATTTACAATTGGTGTTCATTATCATGAGCAACACCTCTCTAGTGCCAAAAAAGGTGGGTAGTTAAGGGTCCGATTCATCTTATTTGAAGCTTCAGTGGTGTGAGCAACCCAAACCATGTCATTTCTCCATTTTAATAACTGTCATTGAACTGGCACTCGCATATGTGCAAACAAAACACAGATAAATAAACCAGTAGGCAACCACAAAGAAAATAACTCAAATGTTCTTGGTGCTGAATGCTGATGAACGGACACAGCAGGTCTTATTACTCAACAATGCACACTTGTACAGAACACGGAATGCGGCTTTCTCACCAGAAATTCACAGCCTGGGTGAAGTGGAGGGGGCTTGTTCGGCTGTGATGAGGAGACATAAGACCCAAAACTGGATATGCGCTAGTGGCTATATGTTGACAGAGACTGTTCCAACCAGCACATAGAGTGGATGGATTACGTTAAAAGCACAAAGAATGTGACAGAGTGGCTATGTAAGTGTTGGCCTGTCCCAATTTTGATCAAGCTTCTAGAAAGAGTGGTTATAAAAGGCAATGTTTTGTCATTATTGTCAAAACTTGTGACATGCAGTGGTAATTTTGGTGCTAGTAATAGCACATCTAATTTAACATTCTGTTGCATATCCGTTTCTATGTCTCATTTTGGTCTGAAGAATATTTTAGCTTCGTGATTCCGAATTGTGTGTGATCCCTTTAAGACCTTGCCGAGGTGCCAAAGCATCATCCGTGTCGCAAGTTATGGTTTCACCAAAGGGGACTGTTCTCTTGACCTTTTACGGTAAATGTAGAAGAAAATATTTTTAACTGTAACTGAGGACCAAAGACATTTCCTTGTGAGAGACTTGGGAACCTTGTGTTTTTTGTTTCACACTTTTTTTTTCAGGTCACCCAAGCAAAATGAAAATTCAGTGTGTCAGATTTGTCCTGTTTGATGATGATCTCAGGAAATCACTGGAATGTTTCTCAGTCAATAAAATATGATCTGCCTTTGACACAGTGCTGCCCTTCATTCATACTTGTATATTTCCATAATTGCATTTCATTAAGTATGTCGTGTTGGTAGCAAATTATATGGCTGGGGATAGTGTGATGATTGTTGGCCACATTAAACCAAGGTTGAAAAAGGGGTTTATCCAACAACAATGTCCAATCTCTTTTTTTGTCTGACCACATCTGTTCTGGATTGACTGCTATTCTAGAATGTGTAGATATCATTATTACAAATGGATTAATACTACTCTTGCATCTGGCACCACTTTAAAAATGTAACGACAGGAGAGCAATTGTTCTGTGCTACCACCCTTAGCCTTGGCCTCCTATTGGCTCTTGAATTTACAATATTCGCCCTTCAAAGGACATAGGTCACAACGGATGCAAGGTGCTTCATAATGTCTGTGATTTCTTCAGCAAATCAGCAAAAAGTTATAATTGGTAAATGGGCTTTTCACTTGCTGAAATACATCAAGCCATCCATTTTCTATACCACATTGGGGCCACGCTGACTTTGAACGACAGACGGAGAGGAGACTGGACTCATTGCTCGTCAATACCTGGGCACAAATAGACAACCAACCAATTCTTGCCCTGCTGTGTCTTCAGTCAACTTAAGAAGCATGTTTTTGGAATGTAGGACGAAGCTGGAATACCAGAAGAAAACACACACAAGTATGGAGAGAACCTATAAACTTCACACAGAAAGGACAGAACTGAGCTCATATAAACATAATGAAACCATCAATCTGTGCATTGTCAGACAAAATTATAAACACGTTCTGAAAACATGCATGTTAGACCAAATCTAAATTGCCCAAACGTGTTATTAGGAATGAACAGTTGTCTTTTTTTTTCTTCCGATTGGTTGTTGACCAGTATACTCTACCTCTCCCTCAAAGTCAGCTGGGATAGGTTCCAGCTCACCTGCAGCTCAAATGAGGACCAGCGCCGTTGTAAATGTCTGGAAGGATGATCAGACATTAGGAAATAAAAAATGAATATATATTTTTTAAAAACTTCCAGCGTTGGTGTGACAAAATATACAGTATTATAACCTACATATATACCAGTGGTTCTTAACCTTTTTAGAGGTACCGAACCCAACCAATTCATATGCACATTCCCTTCATTTGTGAAAAGTAAAAATATGATTTTTTATTTTTTTTTTGAAATTCAAGACATAAAAAACACATTTATTAAAAATAGAAAAAAATTTACAACAAATTTCAAGTCATAAGTTGACAAAGTTTTTTTTTAATTGTGCACAAAATGAACCAGCCAGTGTGATGGCCAAGCAGGCGTGTCATAACTAATTGACATGTTGTGTCGGGTGTGTCTTAACCTCCATGGCAGAGGCGCCGTCGAATCCCTGAGACCGAATCACCGAACCCCTCGGGTTCGATCGAACACAAGTTAAGAACCACAGATCTATACACTCGCCTGACTTGTGTGCGGGCAGCGTAGGATCGGTTCCCACTCAGTGACGGTGTGAATGTGGGTGTGTATGGATGTTATGTGTACCCTGTGACTGACTGGCGACCAGTTTCGGGGTTACTGCTGGGATAGGCTCCAGCACTTCCCGCAACCCTCTTCAGGATAAGCGGTGTTGAAAATGGATGGATGGATGGATAACCTACATATAAACTACAAACTACAAGTTTTCCCTCAGGAATCTACTACATTCCTAGCCTTTTCTTCTACACCATCATGCTCTGTCGTCACAACAATTTTGATGTCTACGTCATCAAAATGGATCCCTTTGTGACCCCCTTGATCTTGGGGAAAAGGGGAAAACAAACACATGGAGCCAGGTTCGGTGAGTAGGGAGGGTTTTTTTTTTTCAGTACAGCGATGTTCTTTTCAGCCAGGCACCATCAGATGCACAGCACTGTGGCATTATAAGCAGGCACAATGTCATGGTGTGACGACCACAATTCTACAGCTGCTTCATTTGCACTGAATGAAGCAAGAGTCACAGTCTACTTTTTGTAGACATGCTCATTGATCTTGTAACTCATATTGAAAGGGGGAAATCTATAGTGTGAAAATGTGAAATGTGTATTTTATGAGGGTAGTCCTGGAACTTTTCTGACACACCACTGAGTATTAAATCACTCCTTTTCATTCAAATCAGCTCTGACACGAATACAGACAACACAGCACTGAGTGTGTTGCCGCCAGTGTGTGTGACTGCATGTTAGAGGGAGAGAGGTGAGTGAGAAACGTGAGAAAAGGTGACCGTGAGTGCCACAACAGCTAAATGAATTGCTCCACTCAGTCTTTTGGGACTGAACAGAAAAGCTTTTTGTCCTTCTGAGGAAACACAGCATGGGAGTCGCCTTCTCCAAAGAAACACAGTATTAATATGTTGGCTGTGCCAGAAGCCCACTCGTGAAACTGATTAGATGTTGAGATATTCTCTCTGAACTATTTCTGCTGAGCTAACCCAACTCATGCTGACCATTCTCATTTCAATGACACCAATTCAATTAGGCATTCCATGTATCATTAACCTCCACTGTTGTCACAAATCACTGACACCTCTTAAAATGGACTTGGAAAACTACGAAATTTTGCTGAACTCTTTACATACGGGCAACTTTATATATTGCATATGCTCAATGGTAATTTTGCATCTGGACCCATTGAGTCACGGTAGCACCAAATTATGTTGTGAAATGCGTCTATTTTCTAAACCGTGTATCCTGCTTACTACACCCTGGACTGGCTTCCAGTCAGTCACAGAGCACAGACAACAGTTGGTACACGCATTCACACCATCACCGAGTGGGAACTGAACCCACGCTGCCTGCACTGAAGTCGTCCGAGCTACCAACCACACCGTCAGTGACTCCCTGTGACTATCACTTTCTTTCCTGTAGTATATTATATTTAATAGAGAGTATTTGTGTATGAACCTGTCAATAATCTATGGTCACATGATATTTTTGTTGTTTTTGAGTCATTTCTTGTATTCTGGTAACACATTAGGCTGGCGGTTGGCACGCATGCCTCACTGTCTGGCCCCTATCTAAAAGCCTTATATTGTCCATAGGTGTACAATTGTTGTTAGTCAAAATGTGCACTTGACTGACTGGCAATGATGATAAGCTGTACAGAAAATGGATGAATTGATGGATGTCTTCCCACTCCCCTTCTTCCTCTCTCTCTGATTGCTGAATGTTGCCAAGGAAACAGCAGTGAGGTACAGAACGGTTAAGTCAATAAACTGATTAAACCCAACTTCTGCTTTTGGGAAGCACCTTATTTGGGCAATGGTGAGTTTCCATGATAGAGAGAGAGAGAAAATTACGCTCCTACTTACTATAATGCTTTAATAAAATACAGTTTATCAAAACAGGCAGCCCACACAATGACAACAGCATTTGAAAATACATTCCAATAAATCCTGGATCACATTGCCAGCATTTAGCAATCTCCTTTTCCCCCTCGCTGCTAGCTTATTATACAAACAGAAGCAGAGTGTGGAAAATAAACGAGCACCAAAGATAATGAAAGTGTTTTTTTTCTGGCACATGGAAACATCGCCAAACAGTCACACTACTGGTAAATATTGCTCCGCTCCAGGCCATCGCCAACCATTATCATTATCAGAAGCTAATGCTGGTCCCACAGTTAAATACCGCTAATATGTGCTAACATGGAATCTCTGCCTCACTTTTAGCTTTGACATGATCGTCAAAGTGGTTCTTTCGCTCTGGAAATTCAGCCAGTCTAGCTCCAGAGACCGAACTACTTGGACACAAACATTAAAACGTGTTTTCCATAATATCTGCTTACACCACATAATGACATGTGGTCTGGCCACACTATACTTTCTTGGGTACATTCGTGATGATGGGTTTGGGTCGCGTCTTAAAGATGAGTTTTCTCTTGATGAGTGCAGACACAGAATAGGAGGTGGATCCATGCAGTTCTGTTTCCATGGCAACCTGGGAGGCATCATGGTTGCCGGTGCTGCCCAGAACGCCCTGTGATTGGGCTGGATGCTTAGTCAGGACGGCAAAGGGTTTCTCCAATTTGACCAGCTTCCCGTACAATATGTGATGTCCTACTATTAACACGGGCACCCCCTGTTGGGAAAAGAAAGAACAAAGGACTGATGAAAGATCGAGGGAGAACAGAGAACTAGCAGCTCAGATTGAACCAAACAGGACAGAAAAGAGCTGGGCAGGGGTCTGGTTTTTAACAACCTAGTCAAATTTAAGGGGGGAAAAAGACAATCACAAGAGTCATCTCGAACAGTGATTTGCAACTGGTGGGCAGGATCCAAAAGTGCATTGCGGAGCTCTTTAGTGTGGACAGTTACTACTGTAAAACACTTCTTGTCGAATATTCTGATTTGGATTTTTCCGTTTCAGTGCAGAGGCGTATCAAGTTCCTACAATGAACACATTAAAGAAGCAACACAAAGTGCAGCTGCCTGGCGCTTTCGCCACAAGTTCACTTCAATAAACAAACACAGTGCAGCTTAGAGTCTGGCTAAGGGAACTTCATGGCAGTACATCAAAATCTTTTGAAACTGCTTTTAAAAATACAATATACTATGCATGTGTTGTCAAAGGCTACTTTAAAAAAAAAAAAAACATTTCCTTTGTTCTTCACTTCGAACGAAACAGAGGTCAATACATGGTTTAACCCTCCTGTTATGTTGTGGGTCAAATTGACCCATTTAGAAAATGTTGGGAAGAAAAAAAGGATTTAACTTGGTCTTCTAACTTGTTTTTTTATTTTTGTTTTTAGTATTAAAAAATTGCGTTATGTGATATTTTTTGCTGATTAAACATCACGAGTAAAAAAACAAAACAAAACAGCATGGCTGCCTCCGCAGTGATGTTTTGCCAGCTCCTGACCAATGTGTGTGTGGCTGTGTTGCTTAAAACGCAGGAAATGTATTTGTAGCATGTCTGAAAGCTTAAGATAAGATAAGATATCCTTTATTTGTCCCACACTGGGGAAATTTACAGTCTACAGCAGCAAAATTGGGGAGTAGAAAGAAGAAAAACAAAGTGTTTGCATTCACAAAAATAAATGTTTCAGTTTCAGTGTACACAGTTCAATTAAGTGCAATATAAATATAGATATAGATAAGGTGGCTGTGTTATTTACAATTGTTTTTTACGTAATTTAATTTTCATTCAGCAGCCTGACAGCAGTCGGTAGGAACGAGTGGCGGTATCTCTCTTTTTTGCAGCGCGGCTGTAACAGTCTCTGGCTGAAGGAGCTACCCAGTGCTGTCAGGGCGGGCTGGAGGGGGTGGGAGGGACTGTCCAGTTAATGGTAATGTTAATTAACATTTAATGGAGTGATCCTCCATGAAATGTCCCTGAACACAGCACAATTCTGGATCCAAAATGCTTCGGAGTTTCTTCCAAAATAAAGTGAAGCAGTTTATTACTCATCCACAGATGCACTGTCGCCACTCTGCTACTTTTCCTGGATTGAGTGGGCGTACAGCAACCATGAGTGTAGAATCTATGTCACACTGATGCCAAATTTAAATCCACTTCTTTTTTTAAGGCTTTTTTTTCCACTGTCAACATACATGGCAATGGCGAGTGATGAAAAAAGCGGAAGGGGCGTGGCCTGGACGGGGCGTGGCCGGGACGGGGGCGTGGTTACTTACAAAAGTGGCACTAAACATGCTGAAGATGAAGTGTATTAAATTTACACAGTTTGAAAATTGAACAGAAAAAAATCCCAAGATCGCCACTATTCTTTCAAGTGAAAATTTGTGCAATTTTGCCTATGCATTCCTGGTGAGCAAAAATATGTAACTCAAAATTTGCTGCTCAAAATCAAAACAAAAAAAGTAAACACATCCCCTGCCATATTTAAGATTTGTTCATGACTTGTATTCATAAAGTGTTGTGTAAATGTGATAAAAAGCTGTTGATTCTTACCTCATACAGTAAAAAGTATATACCTCGGAGTGTACCTGTCTATCGGCGAGGGGCGTCAGTGGAGCAGATTTCGTTGCTTGGTTCAGCCAAAGTAAGTACCCCAGCGCGTAACGTCTTTAGTTGTATCCGCTGACGAAGTTTGATTGAAAAATGCCGATCCCAAAGGATAATTGCTCCGTCGAATGGCGATTTTGTCGGCATGTTTTTTCACTTTTGTTGCATGATCTGTCAGTGCCACGCATCCACGGGAGCCATAGTTAATTAAGTCACTACAATACACACAATAAGCTTTGCCTGCTACGTCTGGTTTCTTCAAAAATTGTCCAAGAGCTTTTGTAACTTCGTCGAACTTGGAACCAATTTTAACCTTTACAGTGACTTTTCTGTCAAGCCAGTCCCATCGGAATTTATTCTTGACGTTTGAGTCAATTTCTAGGATTGAAGACTCCTGATCTTTCGTCAAAATTTTCATAATTCCGCTCAAAACGATCCCAGAACAATGAATTTGCGAGACGAACAGGCCGCCATGAATCAGGTAAAACAATATGTTACATGCAATTTGATTGGTCCAATCGCTTGTAGTTAACCAATCGCTGGGCTGTTTATAATCGAGCTAAGACTTCCGCAACAAATAATGCCTTCAGTGATCTGATTAGTTGAAGCTTTCATACACGTCCAATCGCAGGGCTGTTTACAAACGGAAAACGGAGAGACTGTTCCGGAGAGCTCGTGAAAACTCGACGATAAGGTACCTGACCGCCCCTAAAATTTTCTCAACGGATTTAGACGATTCACAAAAATGATCAATTTAAGAAATAAAACGGCGGATTTCCGCGGATCCGCGGAAAATTGCCATGTATGGTCAAACCATGTCACAGATTCACTTTGACCTACCACACATAAAACAGGAGGAAAAATAGGACATTGATTGCATGGCACCTTTAATTACACTAACATGTTTGTTTTGGGGAATATGGGAAGAAACCAGAGTACCTGGTGAAAATCCACGCACGCACCAGGAGAACAGTCAAAATCCACGCACTCCAATTGATTTACTGCTTTTCTGCTGACTCATACTATTACAAGTGACACTTTTAAAATAAATTTAGCTCTATATAGGGCTTTGTGGAGCAGCAATATTGGATTAGTGTCATTAATAACACTGTATTTTGGTTATTGAGTGTTGTTCAGTGTCAGCGCAAACAATCTTCTGTTATCAAGTTTTACACTGTTCCCTGTCTTGTTCATCGTTTACCTCTTGAGTGTAGATCAGGTCTCCCATCACGCTTCCTGCGAGGCCAGAGTTATGTCTGGATATCATCTCTCCCTGCAGCTCGATCAACAGCCACTCTGGAGGACTGCTGCCGTCAACACTCCCTCTACAAAGGCAGTCATCAACCAGACGAATACACAGTGACACGTTGTATTGGTATTACATGTCATTACTGTACAAACGGTACCTCGTGGACTAAAAACTTTGTCAAAGGTAGATCACCAGTTCGTTCACCTCTTACCTTATGACTATTTGAACCATTGTGCACACTCGTACTTCTCAATATATTAAATCAGTACAAACGACCAATAACCTACGGACATTCAAAATAAACGCAGCTAACCATATACAGTAGTGCGAAGAGTAAAAGCCACAGGTAGTTGACACTAGTCACGTTTCCCGCCAGCAGAATGTTCCTCCGACCAATGACGTAGTTCCGGTAGCAGTGGCTGGCTTCTTCATCATTTCCGGGTCAGAGGATTTCAACGTGGCTACCCATGTCTTCCCAGTGTGTGTAAATTCTTTCAAAGTTGTGCGAGCTTCTGTTAGAACGCGGTAAAGCTGCCTCTATCGTCAGGTAGCACATTGTTTTGTATCTTGAACGTGTTCTTCCGGTCACCTTACAAGCGCTATTGTTCGACATGTTAGCGGTTTGAACCGCTAGCACGGACCAAATTCACGTGTTTGCCAGCCTCCCCTGCTCGTGCTGAGAAGCCACCTGCGGGTGGTTCTCCTTTTTGTAGAAAATGGGTGAGTTTAAGGTGCACCGCGTTCGTTTCTTCGACTACATGCCCAGCTCTATCCGAGCCATGGCGTTCAATTGCCGCACCGAGAGGCTCGCAGTGGCCCGGGCTGACGGAACAGTGGAGGTCTTTAACTTCACTGACAACTACTTCCAAGAGAAGGTAAGAGCCTCACTCATCGATTCCACAGCATTCGGTCACAAGTCACTCTCGTACATATTTCAAATTGCTCCGTCGGTATGCACTGTCGCAGTATTACCCCCTCATGACACCAGATGCGTCTGCAGCGTTTCGTTTTGTCAAGCAGCATTTTTTCATTTAGTCGATCAGTTTTAAAATAGCAGCTTCATAAATTACAATTTAATGGTAAATGTGGCATTCATTTAACCAAGCAAATATTCAACCACTAAAACGAATCGTCCTGTCCAGAACTCAGGAATGCAGGTGAGGAACTTTTATTTGGTCTTAATCAAGAGGTCACGGTCATAATTAGATGTGCAACGATTAAAGGACAACTAATCAATCATCAAATGAATCCATAATTATTTTGGATAAGTAATTAATCGTTTAGAGACCTTGTTAATTCTAAATTGTAACCAATCCTCCGGATTTCACAGTAAATATTCTGAGATTTCTGTAGTCCTCCTAAAGGCAGACTGATCAACACAAAAAAAAAAGACATTTGCAAATATCTGCTTTTCTTTTGTGGGAAAATAATAATCAGTTTCTGGTGGGTGTTATGGACCGAACCAGTAAATTAATGATATTTTGTGCATTTTCTGCACTGCCAATTTGAAATAATGTCCTGTTTTTGAATAAAAGGATGGAAATGAACACGTTTAAAAAAAAAAAGTCCCATTCATAAAATCCATAAAAATAATTGACAGCTTAATTGATTCTTAAAATAATTGTAAGTTCCCTAATCATACTTATATTATTTTGAATTGCTTTAGTGTAGTTTGTGAGTTCTTTTATGATGCTGTACACAAGCAAAGAACAAGAGTCCATCCTTATATTTGAGAGTCAGGCTCTAACTCTCGAAAACCTCTAAGTTTAGCTGTATAAATGAAATGTAACTATTCGTGAAATGGGCTAATGCTTTTGAAACAGTTAAGCAATGTTGTTGTCACACTTAAAGGAAAAATGCATGCTAAAATTGATAATGGTGTTCTTGAACTGAAAATTACTGTTTTAATTGTTGTGGTTAAGGCTCCTTGTGCATGCGCATTGAATTCTGCGGTGACCATTCCTGCTATTTTGGTCCAGGTGATCCCCGGTCGGGATAATGCGGGCATTGAGGCTCTGTGCTGGGTGGGTCAACGCCTCTTCAGTGCTGGTTTGCGTGGAGAGATCACGGAGTATGACCTGGAGAACTTGCAGCCCAAGTGCAGCGTGGATGCCTATGGGGGTCCAATCTGGACCATCAGCTGCAACAGCATGGGAACACTGCTGGCGGTAAGTTGGCACGTTATGGGTCACTTATTTCTTCTGCATGTGTTTTTTTTTTTCCATGATGATGAATCAGTATGTAAATGTTGTCATTTGGAGTGACGATGCGTATTTTTTGTGTCAGGTTGGATGTGAAGATGGGACAGTGAAGATATTTGAAATACTGGAGGACAGAATTCAGTTTCAGAGGAGCTTTGACAGGCAGAAATGTAAGAAGTTTTTTACAGTTTTTGAGAAAATCTTTTCTTGCTTCAGTGTCATTCTGCCAACGCACACACACAGTCGGACAGTAATTGTCTTGTGAGGACAACTTATGTTCAACTTATGTCTGTTACTGTGATCTTGAGGTCGTATCATCAGTCTTTCCTGGCATCCCTCTGGCAAGCTGCTGGCTGCTGGTGTGATGGACATGATTCGAATATTTGATGTTGAGACTGGTAAATTGCTACAAACTTGACACTAGTTTTTACCAAATAATTAAACACTGATGACCCTTATGAATTTATTCCCCTTATTTCAGGTCACAGCATTCACAGAATGCATGTTGAAAGACTTGTGGGAGCTTCCAAAAGCAGGGAGGTTGTCGTTTGGAGTATCGTCTTCTTATCTAATCACACGATCATTAGTGGTGATTCTGCCGGAAAGGTCCAGATGTGGGACGGAATTACAGGAACACTAGTCCACACTCACCTCGTCACCAAGTGGGACGTGCTTGCTCTTTCTGTCTCCCAGGTAAGTCAAACGTTTCAGACACACACTTTCAAATGGAGCATCATTTTAGTCAATATACACACAATACATGTGCAAAATACATTTCAACATATTGTATTAAGGGACTGGGAGTGAAGTTTCCAAAAGCGGAATTTCAAAAATAAGGTGCATGTGGGATAACTTGCTTGTAGTACTGCATTCAGAGCACAAGTGCAGAATACAAAAACAGTTTTTGATAACGACCCGCTCTTTACTACAATAGCGTTTCAGTGAGCTTCAGTTAGTTGGCGAGTTTCAGAGTCACTCTGTGCATGAGAAAAAAAATGCTCCGAGCGCAGAAGTGGTGGGTGACTCCATCAATGCTGTTTTGGAAATGTCCATGTCAAGATCCCACCCCACTAACATTACGTTATGTACCGCATGGGAAACGCAGAAGTGATCAGCAAGCCGAGCAACACACGATGCATCTACTGACAGAACACTACAGCCGATCAGTAGTTGATAAAAAGAGAGAGATGCTCTGATTGGCTGAACCAGTAGGTATGGGTATTTTATCGTGACGTGCGGGATTTCAAGTCAAAACAACACCGCAAAAGGACAGCAAATAGTGGAAATACAAAATGAATAACTTTTACAAAAAAATTGCAAGATACCAGGATCGTGAACCCGAAACCCATAATGGAAGGGGTTTAAACTGTAGAACATATTTTTGTTTCACTGTATTGTCTCTGAACAGCGATGCAAATTTTATAGTCAAGATGCTAGACTGCTGCACGATACACTGGAAACGTTGCTGGGAGAATCACTGTGCTAAATGGTTCTTCATAGGATGAAAGCAGTCTCATAGCCGGTACATCAGAAGGCACTGTGGTCCAGTTCCAGTTTCTTTCTCGCACCGTCAACCAACAGGATAAGGACTGGGTCCGAACCAGAACCTTTAAAAACCACACACACGATGTGAGGGCGCTGGTTCACACTGAGATTTCTGTTGTTTCTGGAGGTCAGTTATAAATGTTCATTTGTGGTTGGTCTGATTTATATTTGATGCTTTTTATCTAGAATCTTTGACTTGTGGTAATATTTATTTGGAATGGTCTTGTTAGTTATGCTTGTTTTTTCTTTTTTATCATTCGAATTTTTTCTTCATCGTGACATAAAACGTCAATGTTTTCTTCAACTCACATAGGTCGGTTGAACCCAATAATGCCCTCCCAAATTGAACTTGAATCTAATTGGAGATGGAGTTTTGCATGCAGCAATTAGTGAACATGAGGGAGGCCCACCGTGTGTTGTTGCCTTGATTGCCATTTAAAATATTTGCAGAATAAGCTATGATATACGTGATCTGACACTGGATCGAAAGTGGGTACAGTCCAATGTTTACTTGGCGTCTCCTTTCAGGTATGGATGCCCAGGTCGTAGTACGACCCCTGCTGGATAAGGTGGAAAAGAACACCCAAGAGTCGGCTCTACGTAAAATAGTCTTCCCTCACGTAAGTACTGTATTTCAGTACTCAAGGGAATTCATGTTTGATTCAGTACATACAGTTAGCCACATCATTTGAAGATGGATCATTTTAATATATTATTTGACAGTCGGCCGAACATCGAACAAAATACAGAGTGTGGTTTCTGTTTATTTTCCACGCAGAGGAGTCTCGTGTGTTGTGCTAAGAAGTTGGGCCTGCTGCTGTTCCAGTTCTCTGATCATCTTGAGCTGTGGAGACTAGGAGAAAGTGAGGGGCAGGGTGAGAGGACAATAACACACCAATTTTGATACATATGCTCATTTTGGATACTAACACATACAGTAGTAAATTTGTGAACATGCGATTATATATAGTTGCTTGTCACATGTCAAGTCGAACACTGTTTTAATCTGTACTGGGCCGTGTGTCAAGTGCGCGACACCCATGTTTGACGAAAAAAAAAAGACATTTGCAAATATCTGCTTTTCTTTTGTGGGAAAATAATAATCAGTTTCTGGTGGGTGTTATGGACCGAACCAGTAAATTAATGATATTTTGTGCATTTTCTGCACTGCCAATTTGAAATAATGTCCTGTTTTTGAATAAAAGGATGGAAATGAACACGTTTAAAAAAAAAAGTCCCATTCATAAAATCCATAAAAATAATTGACAGCTTAATTGATTCTTAAAATAATTGTAAGTTCCCTAATCATACTTATATTATTTTGAATTGCTTTAGTGTAGTTTGTGAGTTCTTTTATGATGCTGTACACAAGCAAAGAACAAGAGTCCATCCTTATATTTGAGAGTCAGGCTCTAACTCTCGAAAACCTCTAAGTTTAGCTGTATAAATGAAATGTAACTATTCGTGAAATGGGCTAATGCTTTTGAAACAGTTAAGCAATGTTGTTGTCACACTTAAAGGAAAAATGCATGCTAAAATTGATAATGGTGTTCTTGAACTGAAAATTACTGTTTTAATTGTTGTGGTTAAGGCTCCTTGTGCATGCGCATTGAATTCTGCGGTGACCATTCCTGCTATTTTGGTCCAGGTGATCCCCGGTCGGGATAATGCGGGCATTGAGGCTCTGTGCTGGGTGGGTCAACGCCTCTTCGTGGAGAGAGCACGGAGGATGACCTGTAGAACTTGCAGCCCAAGTGCAGCGTGGATGCCTATGGGGGTCCAATCTGGACCATCAGCTGCAACAGCATGGGAACACTGCTGGCGGTAAGTCGGCACAATACATGTGCAAAATACATTTCAACATATTGTATTAAGGGACTGGGAGTGAAGTTTCCAAAAGCGGAATTTCAAAAATAAGGTGCATGTGGGATAACTTGCTTGTAGTACTGCATTCAGAGCACAAGTGCAGAATACAAAAACAGTTTTTGATAACGACCCGCTCTTTACTACAATAGCGTTTCAGTGAGCTTCAGTTAGTTGGCGAGTTTCAGAGTCACTCTGTGCATGAGAAAAAAAATGCTCCGAGCGCAGAAGTGGTGGGTGACTCCATCAATGCTGTTTTGGAAATGTCCATGTCAAGATCCCACCCCACTAACATTACGTTATGTACCGCATGGGAAACGCAGAAGTGATCAGCAAGCCGAGCAACGCACGATGCATCTACTGACAGAACAGTACAGCCGATCAGTAGCTGATAAAAAGAGAGAGATGCTCTAATTGGCTGAACCAATAGGTATGGGTATTTTATCGTGACGCGCGGGATTTCAAGTCAAAACAACACCGCAAAAGGACAGCAAATAGTGGAAATACAAAATGAATGACTTTTACAAAAAAATTGCAAGATACCAGGATCGTGAACCCGAAACCCAGGATGGAAGGGGTTTAAACTGTATAACATATTTTTGGTTCACTGTATTGTCTCTGAACAGCGATGCAAATTTTATAGTCAAGATGCTAGACTGCTGCACGATATACTGGAAACGTTGTTGGGAGAATCACTGTGCTAAATGGTTCTTCATAGGATGAAAGCAGTCTCATAGACGGTACATCAGAAGGCACTGTGGTCCAGTTCCAGTTTCTTTCTCGCACCGTCAACCAACAGGATAAGGACTGGGTCCGAACCAGAACCTTTAAAAACCACACACACGACGTGAGGGCGCTGGTTCACACTGAGATTTCTGTTGTTTCTGGAGGTCAGTTATAAATGTTCATTTGTGGTTGGTCTGATTTATATTTGATGCTTTTTATCTAGAATCTTTGACTTGTGGTCATATTTATTTGGAATGGTCTTGTTAGTTATGCTTTTTTTTTTCTTTTTTATCATTCGAATTTTTTCTTCATCGTGACATAAAACGTCAATGTTTTCTTCAACTCACATAGGTCGGTTGAACCCAATAATGCCCTCCCAAATTGAACTTGAATCTAATTGGAGATGGAGTTTTGCATGCAGCAATTAGTGAACATGAGGGAGGCCCACCGTGTGTTGTTGCCTTGATTGCCATTTAAAATATTTGCAGAATAAGCTATGATATACGTGATCTGACACTGGATCGAAAGTGGGTACAGTCCAATGTTTACTTGGCGTCTCCTTTCAGGTATGGATACCCAGGTCGTAGTACGACCCCTGCTGGATAAGGTGGAAAAGAACACCCAAGAGTCGGCTCTACGTAAAATAGTCTTCCCTCACGTAAGTACTGTATTTCAGTACTCAAGGGAATTCATGTTTGATTCAGTACGTACAGTTAGCCACGTCATTTGAAGATGGATCATTTTAATATATTATTTGACAGTCGGCCGAACATCGAACAAAATACAGAGTGTGGTTTCTGTTTATTTTCCACGCAGAGGAGTCTCGTGTGTTGTGCTAAGAAGTTGGGCCTGCTGCTGTTCCAGTTCTCTGATCATCTTGAGCTGTGGAGACTAGGAGAAAGTGAGGGGCAGGGTGAGAGGACAATAACACACCAATTTTGATACATATGCTCATTTTGGATACTAACACATACAGTAGTAAATTTGTAAACATGCGATTATATATAGTTGGTTGTCACATGTCAAGTCGAAAGCACACAGGGTATACAACACTGTTTTAATCTGTACTGGGCTGTGTGTCAAGTGCGCAACACCCATGTTTGACATAGTACCAGTAAGCCCGTGTCGTTTGTTCGCCGTGGTCCAGAAAGGATCAGGGAGTTTGTGTGACTGCTGAGTTGCATGGAAATTTTGAGGAAACATTGCTTGCCTCAGCTGAAGACGGAATTTTACCACAGAGCACTTGCTAGCCACCAATAAAAACTGACAAACCTAACCTTTGCTTTTAAATTTTGCCTCTTAAACAATTAATACACTTTATAACACTTTATATTGGGCCTAGTATCATGTTATCATTGTTTGTTATCAGGAAGGCCCGGTGAGAGTCTACTTGTGAAGAGGAAACCAGAGAAACTAATTCATCTGAAAAGGAAGGTGTGTCCTGTCAAGTTCAATTTCACATGACCAGCGCGTAGTGGGTCAAGAGCTCATGTGACAATTTGCCTCTTAAACAATTAATACACTTTATAACACTTTATATTGGGCCTAGTATCATGTTATCATTGTTTGTTATCAGGAAGGCCCGGTGAGAGTCTACTTGTGAAGAGGAAACCAGAGAAACTAATTCATCTGAAAAGGAAGGTGTGTCCTGTCAAGTTCAATTTCACATGACCAGCGCGTAGTGGGTCAAGAGCTCATGTGACAATGTAGTGTCACGTGTGAGCCTGATGCTTATCTCTGGAGGAGACAGATAAAATGTAATGGAATTTTGACTTCAATATTGCATAACTTTACAAGATAATCTAAAAAGTGAACAGATCAAGTAGATTGCAAATTCTAAATGTAACGTACAGTTAAAAAAAAAAGTCCCATTCATAAAATCCATAAAAATAATTGACAGCTTAATTGATTCTTAAAATAATTGTAAGTTCCCTAATCATACTTATATTATTTTGAATTGCTTTAGTGTAGTTTGTGAGTTCTTTTATGATGCTGTACACAAGCAAAGAACAAGAGTCCATCCTTATATTTGAGAGTCAGGCTCTAACTCTCGAAAACCTCTAAGTTTAGCTGTATAAATGAAATGTAACTATTCGTGAAATGGGCTAATGCTTTTGAAACAGTTAAGCAATGTTGTTGTCACACTTAAAGGAAAAATGCATGCTAAAATTGATAATGGTGTTCTTGAACTGAAAATTACTGTTTTAATTGTTGTGGTTAAGGCTCCTTGTGCATGCGCATTGAATTCTGCGGTGACCATTCCTGCTATTTTGGTCCAGGTGATCCCCGGTCGGGATAATGCGGGCATTGAGGCTCTGTGCTGGGTGGGTCAACGCCTCTTCAGTGCTGGTTTGCGTGGAGAGATCACGGAGTATGACCTGGAGAACTTGCAGCCCAAGTGCAGCGTGGATGCCTATGGGGGTCCAATCTGGACCATCAGCTGCAACAGCATGGGAACACTGCTGGCGGTAAGTCGGCACGTTATGGGTCACTTATTTCTTCTGCATGTGTTTTTTTTTTTCCATGATGATGAATCAGTATGTAAATGTTGTCATTTGGAGTGACGATGCGTATTTTTTGTGTCAGGTTGGATGTGAAGATGGGACAGTGAAGATATTTGAAATACTGGAGGACAGAATTCAGTTTCAGAGGAGCTTTGACAGGCAGAAATGTAAGAAGTTTTTTACAGTTTTTGAGAAAATCTTTTCTTGCTTCAGTGTCATTCTGCCAACGCACACACACAGTCGGACAGTAATTGTCTTGTGAGGACAACTTATGTTCAACTTATGTCTGTTACTGTGATCTTGAGGTCGTATCATCAGTCTTTCCTGGCATCCCTCTGGCAAGCTGCTGGCTGCTGGTGTGATGGACATGATTCGAATATTTGATGTTGAGACTGGTAAATTGCTACAAACTTGACACTAGTTTTTACCAAATAATTAAACACTGATGACCCTTATGAATTTATTACCCTTATTTCAGGTCACAGCATTCACAGAATGCATGTTGAAAGACTTGTGGGAGCTTCCAAAAGCAGGGAGGTTGTCGTTTGGAGTATCGTCTTCTTATC